TGACTGCTTAACCTCACAAACTGTATGTTGAGATTTAACGATCGTTCAATTTTGCGCCTAGCATTGCAGTATGGAAAGGCATGCGTCAGGCATGGATTTATCTGTTTCATCCCAACACTCGAGCAAGTGGGTCTATAGATACGGGTATTTGAACCTTTCAGCCAGTCAGTATGACGACCGGGCATCGAGATGATGCTGGTGTGTCATAGGACGAATCTTTGTCGGACATTTGAGACTACCAAGTAATCTGTACAGAGCCGACACATGACGCTCTGCTTCTGGACTCACTCAGTGAATCGTCACGCCCTGCACACGACTGCTTACAACTACCAAGTAATCTGGTGTACCTCGACGCAGTAACGACGAGATTAAGGATCGACAGGATGTACGTAGACAGGATTTTACAGCAAAAAAAAAAACAAAAACCGCCAAACAGGTAATGTTGCTCATCTTAGCCGTGTGCAAATCTTTTGGTCAAGGACTGAGTCTTAGCAGTTCAGCGTTTCTTTTACTTTAACCGAAAGGAGGTGGGCTGATGTGAGTCAGGCTGAACACTACATCTTTGGGGACCACCAGTTCCGAGATCCCCTGCCAGCTCTGTCTATGCTCATTTAGGACATTATCCGTGGCGCACGATATGGACGTGCAACAGGAGTCTTGCATGAGGTTCTGTAAAACCAACACAGAGAAGGCTGGGGCTCGAGGGGAGGAACGGAGTGTCTCCTTATACATGTCCCATCGGACTTACCTTTCCCTCATGCCTGTGACCAAAAATCACCGCGACACAGGTCCAAGAATGTCTCCAGGTGTAAAGTCCCTTCTTGTACATACCTGACGTTGGGAGTCGAAGGAAAAGGGAGAGAAGAGAGAGAGAGAGAGAGAGAGAGAGAGAGAGAGAGAGAGAGAGAGAGAGAGAGAGAGAGGGAGGGAGAGAGAGAGAATAAAAGAGAGTGAGAGAGAAAGGATGAGACAGACAAAAAGAAATAAAATGAAAGAAAGAGAGTTGAGCTGATTTAAGAACCGACATAACAGCACTCGGGGCATTCTCATAAGCGTACCGTCCCCATCTTGAGCAGCTAGCTCTGAGTTCCAATACTAATAGTGCCAGAAGCATTCTAATTATAGGTCCGTCTTGCCTTTCCTCTGAGCGTCGAGTATCGGCCAGATCCCCTCGTCACTCCTCGCTGCTTCACCCTCGCCAGACTGTGCTGATCCATCTGCTCCTCGCTGCATCACCCTCGCCAGACTGGTGATCCATCTGCTCCTCGCTGCTTCACCCTCGCCAGACTGGTGATCCATCTGCTCCTCGCTGCTTCACCCTCGCCAGACTGTGCTGATCCATCTGCTCCTCGCTGCATCACCCTCGCCAGACTGGTGATCCATCTGCTCCTCGCTGCATCACCCTCGCCAGACTGTGGTGATCCATCTGTACACGTTCTGCCACAAGACCCAAACCACGTCTGCCTTATCAAGCATCAGTATTCCCCTAAGTTGTGCAAAGCCGGCCAGTCTGTCTGCCTGTTCATTTCCCAACACGTCGGTGTACCCCGGAGAAAAGATCTAGACAGTGCACCTGACCCGAAACATACCACTCTGCATGTCTGTCCTGACTTTCTTCAGCATGCTTTCTGAGTCAGTTAACATTCAGAGTGCGCGGGCGCACGCGCGTTTGTGTGTGTCGTGTTCTCTAACCAGAGGGAAGCTGCAGTGACCGCCTCCACTTCCATTCTTAAGCCGGATGTTGGGGTATCGTATGCTAGGCTCTCCTGCACCAAATATCGACCATAAGAAATCCAAGCACTTCTTTTGCCTCTTGTCACTGAACCGTTTGAGTTAATAATCAAATCCTCTGAGCGAGCATTATCTTGAATTAATTGCTGAATTTCTACCTCCGTGGCACCTGCTGGCCAGTCTCTGCATTCCCGGCTCAGCGTGATAACGACTCTACGCAAATCTGACTGTTCAGCTGCCACTTTGACCCACTCCTCTCCTCGCCTAATGTTCTCAAAGATGCAAACCTATTTAATTGTGTCTTCTGCCTGAGCTATCCATGACTTATCAGCCGCTGACCCTTACTGCACCCAGAGCTTCGTGAAAAGGGTTGTCTGTGTCTGCAGCTACCCTGAGATATGACTTCGCCTGCAGCACCTTGTGCCTACCTGCAACCGTCGGCAAACCAAGGATTGTCGCATACACACCACTGGGGTGATCTGGTGCAACCCAGAATGACCCGGATTTGTTCATCTTTTCGCAAGCGGGGAAAAGTATATACAATCAGACTCTTACTGGTACCAGCAGAATTGGTACTATGCACTAGCCGCTGAAGATTAGAACGGGACGATTATGGGAATGTCCCGAGTGTTGCGATGTCTGTTGTTGACTAAAATCCTTACCACCAATTGATACAACTGGGAGGACAGGGTTCAGGGGCAGACAACTAGCGCCATGTTTGCTGCCGTCTGCTTCAGTTGACACAACAAAGCTGTGACTGAGTCGGTAAGTACAAGTTGTGCCCAAGTTTTTGTCTACATCTTGCTCACGACAATCATCCAGCGTTGATCTATTTGAAGCAGAATAATATGTGTTTACCTACTGATAAATTAATAAATCTTCGCTATTATATAATTGATGGTATTGGATGTTTATGAGAAGTAAGAAAGGTTTGATTGTTTGAAATGAATCATGTTCATGATAGTTCATTGTAGGAAACAAAAAAAAGTCGGTGAACAAGACAAGTACTACAGTTGTTAGTTGCATACTGTCGGCGGATCCGTCCTGGTTAGATATGGTTAAATAACTTAATCATTCTGTTGTGTCTTCTAATATCTGCCTGATCTGTGTAATACTTGCGAGTATTGCAATTTGCAGACTTCAATTCTTAACTTATGCTTCGTTAAACACCACACACCAGCTTTCTTTAGCAGTATAGGCCAATCACTGTTGTGTCGCGGTTGTACTAAAAAACAAAAACAACTATACAGTATACAGTACATGACTGTGATAACACCAGGAAGTTCTGTCTCCCGGTATAGGCTTTGTCTTGTCGTTTACATGAATAGTTTAAAGTAATATATCATTTATAGTAAGGCATACATGATGGAAAAATGAAATAAACTCTCACACTTGTCTGTAAATTTCAGCTGAAAAGTTTTTGTTGTTAGTTCCTCCACTTCTGGACTGTATACTACTAATACTAGTTCAAAAACTTGTGTTTTGTGTACACATCCATTTTACAGATCTGGCTTGTTTGAATGGAGACTTCAAATAAAAAGCCCTTAACTAGTTGATTTTTTATGACATGCTAGTTTAGGGGCAGTGGGTCACTTCTTTCCCTCCCCTAAAATAGGCTTCTTAACCCAGACAGAGAACAAACTTGCCGATGACAAATCCAAGTTAAATCGGCTTTAAATAAAGAAGGCAAAACAAACCAAATAAAAGGAGTGAGGTATGTAGGTGGTTTATATAAGACAATGCTTGACAAAAAAAACTATTCAACCTTGTTCTCATTCTTCACTGCCTGTTTTTTTTTTTTTTTAGAAAAACTATTCAAAAAGTTTACAGTATGCTCAGATTATATGTTAAAGTTACAGCATCTATAAATTAAAGTTACAGCATTTATAAGTTAAATTTACAGCATTTATAAGTAGCAGTCACAACCTTAATCAGACTGTTGGATAATCTGAATAGGCTCCAGCCCCCCGCCCCCTTTTTTTTCACATTTACCATATTTGCTTCATTCCTATGCTAGTAGAGCAGCTCACACGTAAACCAGCTAGTGGCCATATTAGAATGCTTGCCTATATAGACAGAAGTAAGTTGTTCTCACCCCCTAGTTTCACAAGTATGTGCAAAAGTGTGCATGTAAGTTGTTCTCACCCCATAGTTTCACAAGTATGTGCATGCAAGAGTATGCATGTAAGTTGTTCTCATCCCCCAATTCCACAAGTATGTGCAAGAGTGTGCATGTAAGTTGTTCTCATCCCCTAGTTCCAAAGAGTGTGCATGTAAGTTGTTCTCATCCCCTAGTTCCACAAGCATGTGCATGCAAGAGTGTGCATGTAAGTTGCACTCATCCCCTAGTTCCACAAGTATGTGCAAGAGTGTGTATGTAAGTTGTTCTCATCCCCTAGTTCCACAAGAGTGTGCATGTAAGTTGCTCTCATCCCCCAGTTCCACAAGTATGTGCAAGAGTGTGCATGTAAGTTGTTCTCATCCCCTAGTTCCACAAGAGTGTGCATGTAAGTTGTTCTCATCCCCTAGTTCCACAAGTATGTGCAAGAGTGTGCATGTAAGTTGTTCTCATCCCCTAGTTCCACAAGTATGTGCAAGAGTGTGCATGTAAGTTGTTCTCATCCCCTATTTCCACAAGTATGTGCAAGAGTGTGCATGTAAGTTGTTCTCATCCCCTAGTTCCACAAGCATGTGCATGCAAGAGTGTGCATGTAAGTTGCTCTCATCCCCTATTTCCACAAGTATGTGCAAGAGTGTGCATGTAAGTTGTTCTCATCCCCTATTTCCACAAGTATGTGCAAGAGTGTGCATGTAAGTTGTTCTCATCCCCTATTTCCACAAGTATGTGCAAGAGTGTGCATGTAAGTTGCTCTCATCCCCTAGTTCCACAAGTATGTGCAAGAGTGTGCATGTAAGTTGTTCTCATCCCCTAGTTCCACAAGTATGTGCAAGAGTGTGCATGTAAGTTGCTCTCATCCCCTAGTTCCACAAGTATGTGCAAGAGTGTGCATGTAAGTTGTTCTCATCCCCTAGTTCCACAAGTATGTGCAAGAGTGTGCATGTTTATACAATAGTCTTCACAGCAAACAACCATGTCTTCTCTCTTCCCAGGAACACACCATGGATGTTTCGTGCTGGGTTGTCTGTCCTGTGAGGATGACCTGTGTCCAGCTTCTTCTGCTCCTTGTCCTAGTGGACACAGCTCTGACAGTAGGGTCCTATGTTGATCAAATGAGCATCACTGAGCAAAAACTCACAGACACAGCAAAATGTCAAGATTCCTGCATGTAAGTAGAGCTGATGTAGGTTTACCCTTTGTGGTCCTTTATTTGTTGGATGTGTCGAGACTTACAGAGACAGTGAAAGGTTCAGATCTGTGCATGTAAGTAGAGCTGATGTAGGTTTACCATTTGTGGTCCTTTATTGGTTGGATGTGTCGAGACTTACAGAGACAGTGAAAGGTTCAGATCTGTGCACGTAAGTAGAGCTGATGTAGGTTTACCATTTGTGGTCCTTTATTGGTTGGATGTGTCGAGACTTACAGAGACAGTGAAAGGTTCAGATCTGTGCATGTAAGTAGAACTGATATAGGGTTCTTTGTTTACTGTTTGTTGTCCTTTTTATGTTAAATGTGTTGAGACTTACAGAGACAGTGAAAGGTTCAGATCTGTGCATGTAAGTAGAGCTGACGTATGGTTCTTTGTTTACTGTTGTCCTTTTTATGTTGGATGTGTCGAGGCTTACAGAGACAGTGAAAGGTTCAGATCTGTGCATGTAAGTAGAGCTGATGTATGGTTCTTTGTTTACTGTTTGTTGTCCTTTTTTTATTGAATGTGTCGAGACTTACAGAGACAATGAAAGGTTCAGATCTGTGCATGTAAGTAGAGCTGACGTATGGTTCTTTGTTTACTGTTGTCCTTTTTATGTTGGATGTGTCGAGGCTTACAGAGACAGTGAAAGGTTCAGATCTGTGCATGTAAGTAGAGCTGACGTATGGTTCTTTGTTTACTGTTGTCCTTTTTATGTTGGATGTGTCGAGGCTTACAGAGACAGTGAAAGGTTCAGATCTGTGCATGTAAGTAGAGCTGACGTATGGTTCTTTGTTTAACGTTTGTTGTCCTTTTTATGTTGGATGTGTCGAGACTTACAGAGACAGTGAAAGGTTCAGATCTGTGCATGTAAGTAGAGCTGATGTAGGGTTTTTTGTTTACCGTTTGTTGTCCTTTTGATGTTGCATGTGTCGAGACTTACAGAGACAGTGAAAGGTTCAGATCTGTGCATGTAAGTAGAGCTGACGTATGGTTTTTTGTTTACCGTTTGTTGTCCTTTTTTTGCTGGATGTGCTACGTGAGATGATGTAACGGTCACCTCCAGATGGAGTATCAAAAAACAGACAGGGAAATAAAAGTTCTTCTTTTTCAGTGTTCACTCTGGCATAAGCAGTTGGCATGTTGAATTGTGGATTACTTTTAGGCTGTGATAACTATGCCTTTTGGCCTAAGACATCTGATTTCAGCAAACCATTAATTAGTAGCCTTTTAGGACATGCTTGTTAAGTGGCAATGGTTTGTTCTGTTATCCCCAAACAATTAGGTCCCTGAACCCACTCGGGTGCAAAGTAACTTATACAGTATATTAACAATTACAATAATTAGGAAGCAATTAAATTAATTAACTGGTGCCTGCTGACTTTTTTGGAAGACTGCCTATTTTGATTTTTCTACTGCCTTCCATTGGCTTGAGAATCAGCTGTACACACATGTCGTCATTATAACTGACTCACAGAGCATGCTGAGAAAGGTGAAGACAGCCATGCTCTGTGCAGAGTGGCAAGCATCACTTTAGAGGTCCCGGGTAGCTAGCATCCTTTGGATATTTTCTCCAGGTGAGCCGGTGTGTTGTGGAAATGAGCAAGCAGATAGACTGGCCAGTTTTGCACAACTTAGAGGTAAACTGATATATGACAAGCTGGATTTTGTGAGGGCGCTTTGGGAGCCAGTGAATAGTGCCGAGGAACAGATAGATCATTACGGTCTGAGGAGAATGGCACTGCGAGCAGTCACAAGGGGATCTGGCCGATGCTCGACACTCGGGGGAGGGGCGAGACGGATATACAATCAGACTGTTACTTGTACCATCGGAATTTTAACTCTTCGTTTGCTGCTGAAGATGGGGACAGAGCGCTTATGGGAGTGTCCCGAGTGCTGTGATGTTGATTCTTAATTCAACATTCAACATTCATTCAACATTGATTTTTCTGTCCATCCATGGTATTGTTTATATTTTCTACAGAATGTTCTTTCATGAAATGATAAAAATCACAAAGGAGCAAAGCTTGCCCCTGAACACTGCCAACCTGACCTGAAGCACAGCATTTGAACAAGGGCATTTAACAAATGTATCAACTGATTCTTATTATCTGTTTTCAGATTTACTCTTGTGGAGTCAGTACCTGATAACTTGACCTACTCTGAAGGTCCTTCCCTGATGTCCACCTACGAGGCGCATAAACGGCTGTTGGACAGGGCAAAGCAGAAGATACATCTGGCTAGTTTTTACTGGTCGTTGACTGATGTGGACATTCACTGCCCTGACAATAGTTCCTTCCAGGTAGGTAGCTCTGCCTCTGTCAGTATGCTCTTGGTAGCTCATTGCCTCTGTCAGTATGCTCTTGGAGGTTTGCCTCTGTCAGTATGCTCTTGGAGGTTTGCCTCTGTCAGTATGCTCTTGGAGGTTTGCCTCTGTCAGTATGCTCTTGGAGGCTCACCTCTGTCAGTATGCTCTTGGAGGCTCACCTCTCTTAGTATGCTCTTGGAGGCTCACCTCTGTCAGTATGCTCTTGGAGGCTCACCTCTGTCAGTATGCTCTTGGAGGCTCACATCTGTCAGTATGCTCTTGGAGGCTCACCTCTGTCAGTATGCTCTTGAAGGCTCACCTCTGTCAGTATGCTCTTGGAAGCTCACCTCTGTCAGTATGCTCTTGGAGGCTCACCTCTGTCAGTATGCTCTTGGAGGCTCACCTCTGTCAGTATGCTCTTGGAGGCTCACCTCTGTCAGTATGCTCTTGGAGGCTCACCTCTGTCAGTATGCTCTTGGAGGCTCATCTCTGTCAGTGTGCTCTTGAAGGCTCACATCTGTCAGTATGCTCTTGGAGGCTCACGAGTACTTAGAAGGGCCGAATGTCAGACAGGCCTGCGTGCCCATTTTGTAACCCTTTGAAAATAAAGTTTGTTTGTTCGTTCGTTCGTTCCTTCACCTCTGTCAGTATGCTCTTGGAGGCTTGTCTCTGTCAGTATGCTCTTGGAGGCTTGTTTCTGGCAGGCTTGTCTCTGTCAGTATGCTCTTGGAAGCTGGCCTCTGTTAGTATGCTCTTGGGAGCTGGCCTCTGTTAGTATGCTCTTGGGAGCTCACCTTTGTAAAATCTGTCATTAAAAAAACATGTATATAAACCTGCAGATTCTGATGAATTTAAGCAGATGACGACCTAGCAAATGTTACAAGATATTTGGGATTTCCAGCATGGAGTGTGTGTGCCCTTTATAGAGCTGGAGCGAATTTTTTTAAATTTTGAGTATAGTCCTAGGATGAATCTTTGGACTCATCACAAGATGTAAACAAAATAGTCCTAGGATGAATCTTTGGACTCATCACAAGATGTAAACAAAATAGTCCTAGGATGAATCTTTGGACTCATCACAAGATGTAAACAAAATAGTCCTAGGATGAATCTTTGTACTCATCACAAGATGTAAACAAAATAGTCCTAGGATGAATCTTTGTACTCATCACAAGATGTAAACAAAATAGTCCTAGGATGAATCTTTTTACTCATCACAAGATGTAAACAGTGGGGGATGAGGAGGGAGAATCAAATGCCACATTTAATTGGTTGATTATTTGTGTGGTTAAATAATGTTTTCTTTCATGTATGGTTTCTTAAATAATTGGTTAATTCAAGTGTTAATTGAGTGGTCTCAGACACCTGAACATTGTTGGCTTTTTTTATGACCAGGGACAGGACATTTTCCAGCGCCTGCTGGACTTGGTCAAGGCTGGACAAGTGGATGTGAAGATGGCGCAGAACAACACCAATAATGACACTGATGAACTAGCTAAATGTAAGACTTGTCGTTGTTGTATAGTTTGATCAGTGTAATACGTGTGATTGTTGTATAGTTTGATCAGTGTAATACGTGTGATTGTCGTATAGTTTGATCAGTGTAATACGTGTGATTGTCGTATAGTTTGATCAGTGTAATACATGTGATTGTTGTATAGTTTGATCAGTGTAATACATGTGATTGTTGTATAGTTTGATCAGTGTAATACGTGTGATTGTCGTATAGTTTGATCAGTGTAATACGTGTGATTGTTGTATAGTTTGATCAGTGTAATACGTGTGATTGTCGTATAGTTTGATCAGTGTAATACGTGTGATTGTTGTATAGTTTGATCAGTGTAATACGTGTGATTGTCGTATAGTTTGATCAGTGTAATACATGTGATTGTCATATAGTTTGATCAGTGTAATACGTGTGATTGTTGTATAGTTTGATCAGTGTAATACATGTGATTGTCATATAGTTTGATCAGTGTAATACGTGTGATTGTCGTATAGTTTGATCAGTGTAATACGTGTGATTGTCGTATAGTTTGATCAGTGTAATACGTGTGATTGTCGTATAGTTTGATCAGTGTAATACGTGTGATTGTCGTATAGTTTGATCAGTGTAATACATGTGATTGTCGTATAGTTTGATCAGTGTAATACATGTGATTGTCGTATAGTTTGATCAGTGTAATACGTGTGATTGTTGTATAGTTTGATCAGTGTAATACGTGTGATTGTCGTATAGTTTGATCAGTGTAATACGTGTGATTGTTGTATAGTTTGATCAGTGTAATACGTGTGATTGTCGTATAGTTTGATCAGTGTAATACGTGTGATTGTTGTATAGTTTGATCAGTGTAATACGTGTGATTGTTGTATAGTTTGATCAGTGTAATACGTGTGATTGTTGTATAGTTTGATCAGTGTAATACGTGTGATTGTTGTATAGTTTGATCAGTGTAATACGTGTGATTGTTGTATAGTTTGATCAGTGTAATACGTGTGATTGTTGTATAGTTTGATCAGTGTAATACGTGTGATTGTTGTATAGTTTGATCAGTGTAATACGTGTGATTGTTGTATAGTTTGATCAGTGTAATACGTGTGATTGTTGTATAGTTTGATCAGTGTAATACGTGTGATTGTCGTATAGTTTGATCAGTGTAATACGTGTGATTGTTGTATAGTTTGATCAGTGTAATACGTGTGATTGTCATATTGGGTTTTCCTCTTTTCCCCTGCAATATAAAGGCATCTTTAAGTCTTTCCTCTTTTCCCCTGCAATATAAAGGCATCTTTAAGTCTTTCCTCTTCTAACCTGCAATATAAAGGCATCTTTAAGTCTTTCCTCTTCTCCCCTATGATATAAACACATCTTTAAGTCTTTCCTCTTCTCCCCTGCAATATAAAGGCATCTTCAAGTCTTTCCTCTTTTCCCCTGCAATATAAAGGCATCTTTAAGTCTTTCCTCTTCTCCCCTGCAATATAAAGGAATCTTTAAGTCTTTCCTCTTCTCCCCTGCAATATAAAGGCATCTGCTTTCAAGTTAATTGCGAAAGAAGCCAAGACAGCGAAATGGAACGAATTCTGCAAGAGCGTTTGCTCCGAGGAATCTCTTGTGACATTCTGGCGCCTTCAACTGAGCATGCACGGCGCCGCACGACCAAGGGGTCTCCCTGGTTTTCAGGGTACAGACCTGATATGGCAGAGAACTGATACTGATAAAGGAAAAACCCTTCTTGCGCGCTATTGGAGCAATCTGACCAGAAGGACGAAGCTGCAAGAATAGGGGTTAAGATAAAACTGTCGATGCTGTGCGAGAACACTGTGCTAGGCACTGATTTCACAATCACTGCAGATACCTTAAGAATTTGCCTCAAGAAAGCGCGCAGCACTGCTCCAGGCCCTGACGGCATCCGATACAACGACATGCTGATGATGTCGAATGCTGATTTAAAAAGCGTGGCAGAGGAATTCAATATCAGCATCCAGAGTGGCCAGATACAAGAGGAATGGCTCCACAGTTATTTGTTTCCACTACTAAAGACAAATAAAGACCACTCAAAGATCTGCGGCTACAGAATCATCTCGATGCAGAATACTGTTGGCAAACTTTTGGAGAAAATTGTCGCACAAAGATTGACCACCTACTTGGAACTACATGATAAGTTCCCACCAACACTTGGAGGGTACAGGTTAAATAAAGAGACATGGTTCAGTGCTGCAGTTTTCGCCTACGATGTTTACGAGGGATTTCAGATTAAAGAAGAGACATGTGCCGCAGTGTTGGACTTAGAAGATGCCTACAATAAAGTACCATACGAATATTTAATGCAGTTACTGCTTAAACTAGAAGTAAATCCTATTCTGATCCGCTGGATTGCTGCGGTCCTGTTCCAGAGAAAGATTGTACTAAGATGTGGTAGCTGGTCCTCAGAACCGCAAACGATATGTCCAGGCTTGCCACAGGGATCACCGCGATCACCAGTCTTATTCAACGTGTATACAGTGATGATCACTGAGCAGCAGTTGAATAGAAAGGGAAGGACTTTGTCATTTGCTAATGACAATTTGATTTATCGACGAGGGCGTGATAGACAGGAGATCGCCAGCACAATGCACAAAGAACTCGATCGAATTGCTGCCTGGTGTGATGGTTCCAATGCCTATGTCAATCCTTCGAAGGCATCAGTGTCATGGTTCTCTTTGAACAATCACATTGTCAAGTCGGACTTACCAGAAGTGAAAATGCGTGATAATGTATTGATCAGAACCAACGTTATGACGTTTCTCGGGGTGAGGTTCGATCGCAGCTTGTCATTCAGGGAACACGTTGACCATGTGATAACAAAAGCATGCAAAGGTCTATCTGCAATGAGGATTATGGCTGCTTCCAAATCGAGCAAAGACTACTAATACGTCTTTTCTACGGTCTGGTCCTTTCCCCCATTGAATACGCTCTGGCCATACTCACTGTCAGTGCTACCCAGATTGAACGACTTGAAAAGGTGCAAAATGAAGCCATGCGCATTATTTTGGGATGTACAAGAGACACATCCTGTGGAGCAATGAGATATCTACTTGACTTTCCAACTATGAACCAAAGGATCAGGATGTGGAGGGCTCGGGCATACCTTAAAATATGTGCTGATAAGAAACACTAAATGCATCAAGCGCTTTTTAGTGAAAAAGGCGACAGACTGAAGAGGGGAAAATCGTGGCTAGGTCGGGCAGAAGATGTTATTAGGCAAATATGCAGCCTAACTGACATCATACCTGGCGCAGAATGGATACCTGTGCCTCAGGCGTTTATTTGTACATTTTCCTGTATTGTCACACTCAACAGGCGATGTAGAGAAGAGAATCCTGTTGCTGTTAATGCAGAGGTCAACGGCCGCATCAGTGAAAATTCAGACGAAGCAGACGCACTAATCTATACAGACGGATCCGTTATACGCCAAAGAAGAAGCGCATGGGCATTCACAGCACGCTCAGCAGGCAGAACAGTCAAAGAAGCCAACAGCGCCTTCTCCATGACAACCAGCAGCATGACGATGGAGGTGATGGCAGTGACGCAAGCGTTTGCTTGGCTTGAAACACAAAAATACACCAGCGAATGTATACTCAGTGATTCAATGAGTATGATCCGGAGGGTTCAGGCAGGTTCAGTGCGAAGACAATGGCTTGAATCATTACAGAAGTCCTCTGTGCGTGGAGTCACCTTTATTTTTGTTCCGGGACACGCAGGCGTTGATGGAAATGAAAGAGCTGACAGGTTGGCTGGATCCGCTATCACTACTGACGGTCAGCCTATGGATATCTGCTGTATCAAAGACTCGCTCACAGACAGGGAACTGAGACAGTGCCCAGGTTACTGTTCCATGTGTCCTGTTAGGTTCCATGTTAGGTATCTCTTTGAACAATTTTATGGGTTAACTCTTTGAGTCCCAGGGGGTTTCGCATCACAGGCCCAAGGGATAGTCAAGATAGACGTAAATTCGGTGCATCTTGCGTTCATTGGGTAGGAATCTATAAATGTATGACGCGTTCCTTGGGACTCAAAAGAGTTCAGAAATGATGGTCGGCATTTGTCAGACAAGTGCCAGTTGTGAAAAATATTATTCTTCAAGTGTGCATATGCAACAAATGGTCAGTAAAGTTGCAGATTTCAACTGGCGTTAATATTCAGTTTATTTCAATGTTAGCTTCTTTGTTTTGGATCATCTCTTTATTAGTTCATGTTATTGTTAGTTCATGTTATTGTTAGTGGATTTCTTTGTTAGTTCATTTTTATTTTTCGATTATTTCCTTGTCAGTTTAAAAGTTTACTTTGTTGTCAGTTAATTTCATTGTTAGATCCTTTCATAATCACTTGGTTTAACTGTTGGTTACTTTAATTGTTTGCTAATTTCATTGTCAGTTAGTGTAACTATGAGTTAATGTAACTATCACTTCATCTCATTGTCAGTTTTATAGTTAGCTTGCTTCATTGGTGGACCACTTTATTGATTGTTTATTCTATTATCATGTTAGGATATTTGTATTAATTTTCTTGCTAGCTGATTTCATCATTGGTTTATGTTATGATAATGAAGAGATGAACATTTTCATAGTTACATATTTTTCTGTTCATTTGTATCAAATATACCTTCCAAGCCTGTGTCATTTTGTATTGTATATAATGTAGATGGCGCTGGGGTTCGAACTGTGGACTTTCCCCGCCTGGAGCATGCAGGCGTGATGCATACCAAAATGTGGATCATTGATGAGTCTCATGTGTACATCGGCAGTGGGAACTTCGACTGGCGCTCGTACACACAGGTACAGCTTTTCTGTTTGTTAAAATGTACGTATACATTTCTTGGTGCCAGAATATTTACCTTCAAAATTATCCCTGTCTTGAAGAAAACACCCTTTGTCAAAAACAACCGCTCATGCAGTAAACAGCTAAGAAGTTCGGTATTGAGTAGGGCTGTACCGAATAGGGATTTTCACTATTCGGCCGAGTACGAATAGCGGGACCAACTATTTGGCCGATTACGAATACAAATAGTGTATCATCATCAGGTGCCTTGCCGACTGGCCCTGGGCCTTGCCACAATCTGCGATCTCCTGCAGCATGAATTAGTTAGTGTGACACACCTCTATGCCATGCAACAAGACTGTCAAGAATCTTCTCTCGTTGTCTTCCTCTATCCCTCCTACCAAAGATCTTTCCAGTGGTCACCACATGTTCAATTTTCCCTCTTCTCATATCATGGCCGACTGTCTCCTTCTGATGTCTGGACACTGTACCACGCAACCGGGTCGCAGTTGCTCCCGCTACGACAGGCTTAGACTACACCAACTATTAAGTTAATGAGAGAGTTTTTTTAGTCTATCGCAGTGTATGCAGAAACGGGTGTAAGGTAACCACTATTCGTATTCGGTCTGACCGCAAGTATTCGGCCAAATCCCGAATAGTTATTAGGTCTACTATTCGGCCCCGAAGCGAATACGAAGCAAATATTCGGTACAGCCCTAGTATTGAGATTCTCCTCCATCAGTCAGGTGCCACCTCCACATTGAAGGTTGGCTGCCATGAATCTCCAACATGCTCTGTCTCTTATCTTGCTTGTGCTATGAATGTTCGTATATGAACATAATATGTCTGATGTATACAATACAACTGCCAGATGAAGAATGCCTAGAAGGCTAGAATGTAAGACGGGCCTGTGAGCCCAATTTGTAACGCTTTGGAAATAAAGTTTGTTCGTTCGTTTGCTCTCTCTCAGGTTCTGTCTCAGAATGCTATTGTCCATCTCTTGAAGTTCTCCTCCCACTTGTATCATTGTCTAGCTCTTGCTTTTTTGCTCTCAACATTTCCTGGCAGTATGATTTTTAAAAGAGATTCTTCTACATCCACCCTATTCTCCAGATTTGGATCTGTCAGAGTTGCATCAGCCAGAACAAAATGGGAGTTGTTAGCCTAAAAACACACATACTGAGGAGGAAATTGGAGCACTTTTGGTCATGTCCAATGTGCAATCAAGATTATCTCTAAAATGAACAATGAACTTTTAATTTCAGCAAGTCTCTCATTAGTCGCCTGTTATGATAGGGACAGTGTGTCTGTTCTATTTTCCCCCTACAATAGGACCCCGAAACCCACGTCGGCAATCCTCTAGTTAATAACAGCGATAGTTATCATTTTACCGGTAATTTATCATTTGACTGTTAATTTAACATTTTACTGTTAATTTATCATTTTACTGTTAATTTATCATTTTACTGTTAATTTATCATTTTACTGTTAATTTATCATTTTACTGGTCATTTATCGTGTTACTGTTACTTTATTGTTTTACTGTTAATTTATAATTTTACTGTTAATTTATAATTTTACTGTTAATTTATAATTTCACTGTTAATTTATAATTTCACTGTTAATATATATATATATATATATATATAATTTATCATTTTACTGATCATTTATCGTGTTACTGTTGATTTAATACAAACTGTTCTCTCCATACAGACTAAAGAGCTGGGAGTGCTCATAGAAGACTGTCCATGTCTGGGAGCTGATGCAGAAAAGTTATTTGAGGTAAGCAATGTGATCATTCTGTACTGGGTTACATTCTTCTTCTTCTTCTGCTGTTTTTATCCCCCATTTGACTTTCTGCATGCTGCTCTTGTCTGGCTGCACCATCTTTGGTTTACTGTTTTTGCAGGGGGTCATGATTTCAGTTTCACATTCACTACCTGGTTCTTCTTCTTCTCCTAATAGTCTGTGATGTTTGACGGTAGTTATGTCTATCCAAAACCTTCCTCCCCCCCCCCCCCCTCCTTTGTACTTTCAATCATTTCTGACACAGATGATCTTCCATATCTTGTGACATTAATTGTCATGTCTATCTGAAACCTTCTGTCTCATATATTTTCAGTCAGTTCTGACACAAATGATCTTCCATATTTAGTGACATTGGTTGTCATGCCTATCTGAAACCTTCTGTCCCATATATTTTCAGTCAATTCTGACACAGATGATCTTCCATTCAGTGATATTGAACTGTCCATCATCTTCTCTCTCGGTCTCCCTCTGTCTCTTTTCTCCTCAGAGTTTCCCACCATCACTATCTACTTCAGTTTTCTTCTGTTCATGACATGACCAAAGAAAGATTCACATGAACAGATCTCTGCTAGAGTAATCAGTATATCAGCTTGGCCCTTTCTCATCCCTAGCAGCTTGGTAATTTCTCATCCCTAGCAGCTTGGTAATTTCTCATCCCTAGCAGCTTGGTAATTTCTCATCCCTAGCAGCTTGGTAATTTATTCGTACCCCTGCCTATGTTAAGCTCGTCGCGGATCGGAAGGTCGTGGGTTCGCTCCCTGGAGTAGCCAGACTTTTTTCAAAAAATGACCCTGGCTCCCAGGTCGACCCAGCCTTGAGTGGGTACCGGGTGTAGTCCTGGGAAGTAGAGGCGGCCGGCGTGATACTGACCACATCACCCATCTTGTGCCGATTGGTCTATAAAAATATAGGTCTAGCCCTATATGCCTAAAGGCGTGGAAAAGGGTTCCTTTACATTTTTTTACCTACTGCCTATGTTAAATATTCTATTTTGATATGTGTTATACTTTCTTTCAGTTATAAAGTAATGCAAAATTATAATGCAATCTAAAGTTAGTGATGTAAAGAGAAGGTGGAAATGGCTTGGCCACGTTATGAGAATGAATCCTGATATACCTGCCAAAACAGCTCTCACATGGACACCAGAGGGAAAGAGAAAACAGGGGCACCCAAAAACAACATTGAGACGAACGATGGAAAGTGACCTGAGTGCGGCATCTTTGACATGGAAAACTGCACTGAAGATTGCACAGGACAGGAAAGCATGGAAAGTCCTCTCTGAAGCCTCACGTGCCACTAGGCATAACGAGAACTCATGATGATAAAGTTAGCGATGTAATGTTATACTGTGTAAATATCTGATTCCATCTAGGTGTATTGGTATCTGGGCTCCCCCAATGCAACAATTCCAGACCAGTGGCCGGATGAATACACAACAGGAATCAATATCTCTTCACCCCTGCTGGTTCATTACAACAACACAGAGGCACATGTCTACTTTTCTGTGAGTTATCTCTTTGTTGCTGGTTCATTACAACAACACAGAGGCACATGTCTACTTGTCTGTGAGTTATCTCTTTGTTGCTGGTTCATTACAACAACACAGAGGCACATGTCTACTTTTCTGTGAGTTATCTCTTTGTTGCTGGTTCATTACAACAACACAGAGGCACATGTCTACTTGTCTGTGAGTTATCTCTTTGTTGCTGGTTCATTACAACAACACAGAGGCACATGTCTACTTGTCTGTGAGTTATCTCTTTGTTGCTGGTTCATTACAACAACACAGAGGCACATGTCTACTTGTCTGTGAGTTATCTCTTTGTTGCTGGTTCATTACAACAACACAGAGGCACATGTCTACTTGTCTGTGAGTTATCTCTTTGTTGCTGGTTCATTACAACAACACAGAGGCACATGTCTACTTGTCTGTGAGTTATCTCTTTGTTGCTGGTTCATTACAACAACACAGAGGCACATGTCTACTTGTCTGTGAGTTATCTCTTTGTTGCTGGTTCATTACAACAACACAGAGGCACATGTCTACTTGTCTGTGAGTTATCTCTTTGTTGCTGGTTCATTACAACAACACAGAGGCACATGTCTACTTGTCTGTGAGTTATCTCTTTGTTGCTGGTTCATTACAACAACACAGAGGCACATGTCTACTTGTCTGTGAGTTATCTCTTTGTTGCTGGTTCATTACAACAACACAGAGGCACATGTCTACTTGTCTGTGAGTTATCTCTTTGTTGCTGTCCAAATTAGTCTGTTAGATCTTAGTATTATTTCCTTGAGGTTGCTGTAGTTTTTGTCAGATTTACTATACTCTCTATGAGGTCTGACCTTTTCCGAAACATACCATAATCTCTGTGAGGTTCCAGTAAGTTGTAAAAGATTCATATATATTTTATATTAGGTTCCGGTGAGTTCTGAAAGATTCATATATAATTTATATTAGGTTCCGGTGAGTTCTGAAAGATTTATATATAATCTATATTAGGTTCCAGTCCTTTGTATAAGATTTTACTGTCATCTCTGACAGGTCATGGTGATTTCTATATGACTATACTATCATCTCTGACAGGTCATGGTGATTTCTATATGATTATACTGTCATCTCTGACAGGTCATGGTGATTTCTATATGGTTATACTGTCATCTCTGACAGGTCATGGTGATTTCTATAAGATTATACTGTCATCTCTGACAGGTCATGGTGATTTCTATAAGATTATACTATAATCATCTTTAGGTTTCAGGTTTTTGTAAGATTATAATTAAAATTGTTTTGGGGTCTTGTTATCTTTATAAGATCATAATCTAATCACTGTGCAATTACTATGATTTCTTTAAGGTTATTATGAAATCTTGCTGAAGATTCTATGATTTCTGTTTTCTGATTCTACTCTTCATTTGGTCTGATATCTTTTAATGATATGATTTCTGGAGGATTACAATAGAATTACTTTTAGGTTTATGTTATTTCTATAGGAAATAGCCAAGTGGATGTTATAATATCTGCTTCTGGCTCAGGCAGTGTGGTGTGTATGCAGTTTAGACTGCAGACTTGTCACTTTCTAGAACTTGCTCATAAAATCGATACTAGAAACTATTTTAGGAAGTAAAGGTGACTGGTATTATACTGACCACATTATCTGTCGAGTGCCAATTGGTCAATAAAATATGGGTCTAGTGTAGGGTCACCATATGTCCTGTTTTCACCGAGAAAGTCCCGTTTTTTTTAGGTGTGTCCCAGCTGTCCCATCAGTACCTCCCCCCCCCCCCCCCCCCATTTTTTTCTTCCAAATCACCAGTTGTTCCTTTAAAAAAAAAATCTAGAAATCTTGAGAAGAGAACATACTTTTAATAGATACTTTTGAATAGATACTTTTAATGCCTGAAATGTGTTGATGGCAAGTTTCCTTGTAACTTTTATATTCTTTTAGTGCAGTTGAAGTGTATAGTATATGTTTTTTTGTCTTGGCAAAACATCTTTGAGTTGTAATACCATCATCTAGCCAGTAATTAACCCTTTCAGCCTGGTGACCTAGAAAGAAATTGGGAGTGGGGTTAAACTGCCTTGCTTGTCCCGTTTTCAGCTCAAAATATTAGTGGGATGTCCCTTTTTCTGCTCAAAATATTAGTGGGATGTCCTGTTTTCAGCTCAAAATATTAGTGGGATGTCCTGTTTTCAGCTCAAAATATTAGTGGGATGTCCCTTTTTCTGCTCAAAATATTAGTGGGATGTCCTGTTTTCAGCTCAAAATATTAGTAGGATGTCCTGTTTTCAGCTCAAAATATTAGTGGGATGTCCTGTTTTCATCTCAAAATATTAGTGGGATGTCACTTTTTCTGCTCAAAATATTAATATGATATCCTGTTTTCAGCTCAAAATATTAATGGGATGTCCCGTTTTCAGCTCAAAATATTAGTGGGATGTCCGTCCCATTTTCAGCTGAAGATATTTAGTTCATGCTAGTCTAGTACCATGTACTGCGGAGCCATAGTGGTGTAGTGGAAATATGTTGCTTGTTGGCCCGATGGTCTTGGGGTCAAATCCACATTGAGTTGGATTCTTTAAAAAAATGACCTTAGTTCACCAGTCACCCTAGCCTAAAATGGGTACCACCTAAAGTCCTGGAAAGTAAAGTTGTCTGGTGTAATGTTGACTACATCAATCATCATGTGCCAGTTGATCTACAAAAATATCAGTACATCCTCATTGGTCCAATATGGCACTAGCATTAAGACAGTCCTTTACATTAATTACTGACCGTGTACTCAGTACAAGACAGTCCTTTACGTAAATTACTGACCGTGTACTCAGTACAAGACAGTCCTTTACGTTAATTACTGACCGTGTACTCAGTACAAGACAGTCCTGTACGTTAATTACTGACCGTGTACTCAGTACAAGACAGTCCTTTACGTTAATTACTGACCGTGTACTCAGTACAAGACAGTCCTTTACGTTAATTACTGACCGTGTACTCAGTACAAGACAGTCCTTTTCGTTAATTACTGACCGTGTACTCAGTACAAGACAGTCCTTTACGTTAATTACTGACCTTGTACTCAGTACAAGACAGTCCTTTACATTAATTACTGACCGCGTACTCAGTACAAGACAGCCCTTTACATTAATTACTGACCGTGTACTCAGTACGTGTTGAGCCATGGCCCTTTATTGTTGTGGCAAATGGAAACTCATTTTTATTGTTAATTTTTTTTAACTTGTTTGGCAGTCAGTAAGATTAACATCTCAAAAATTAGAGTCAAATAAGCACACATTCCCAAAACCCTTTCAACCATATAACCGTATAGCAACTATATTAGGGCACCACAAAAGTGTGTGGGTGCATCTGAAATTGTTATGTACAATTTAAAAAAGGAGCCTTGCTATGTTAATGTATTTTCTATCTGCCTTTCTTTTGAGGGGATTGAAAATGTTTTATTTTATGTTAGTTTGTTTTAACTTACTCATAAAAACTCAACTTTGAAACATCATTTGTGACCTGATCAGAGCTCTCCGCCATCCTTCTGCCCCAGTGGTCGAGCCAACGACATAGATGCCATCCTGAATGTCATCAGGTCCGCCAAGAAGTTCATCTATATTTCTGTAATGGATTATTACCCCTTGGTCATTTATTCTGTTAATAAAACGTAAGTATGTTTGTCATACATTTTATGTTTATGTTCAAATTGTTACATACACGAATAGCCATTTGGGAGCAGTTAAATAATACACATATAGCCATTTGGGAGCAGTTAAATAATACACATATAGCCATTTGGGAGCAGTTAAATAATACACATATAGCCATTTGGGAGCAGTTAAATAAGGCATATACGTGGATAGCTGATTACAAGAGAAACAACAAGAAACCAAGGGATCTGGCTGTCACTCTGCACTCAGAAGAAAGACAGGCTGGAAACAGTCAGACTGCTACTGATGTCATGCTGGCTGCTGAAGATGAGGATAGAGTGCATATGGGAATGATCTGAGTGCTGTGATGTTAGTTCACTTTAATAATGATATCGAGATTGACATCCATGACAAGGTCAAGTATTGTAGAGGTCTCCAACCTTTACTTTTAAAATTACATTTGTTTATGTTGGGGGCGCGTGGGGGTCTTGTCATATACTGGGGGGGGGGGGGGGGGGGGGGGGTCATTTTCCCCTTCATATGTCATTATCATAAATTATTCATAATAGGTGGTATTAAGAAAAATATATATGTGAATAAATCGAGTGTCAGATTGAGGCAAACGTTAACTTTGTGCATTTTTGCCAAAAATAAGCTATGTGAAAAAACCTGAATGCGTGAGAATGGTCTGGAAGTTCACAAGGAAAGTAAAAGGCTATTTAATCTGTGAGAGAATGAGATAGGGCAGTCTTGTTTTCTGTCTGGTCTTGTGGCAGTTGGAGTGCCTGAGCTGAATGTCCTGAGAAGATTGAGGAAATGTATTCGAGCCACTAGCCCAAGGAAATCTGGCTAATCAATTGATGACAACATGATGGAGGCGCGAATGTCAGCTGTGCTGCACTGTCTGTGAACGCAGTGCAAGCTTGAGATGTATGTGAACATAGCTGGGTGCCTAGACAATATATCTCTAGCGCATTGGTTGATCGAAAAGACCTCATTGGAGAATAAGGTTAGTTGCGTATCCTTTACAGGACTTTGCAGAACCAACCCCAACAGCCCCTGGCTGTTGTGTGGTTTTTCTAGGCAAATTTACGTCCAGTAGTTTACCATTGCATTCTGGATGGTCGGCTCTCTTGATACCACTGTCGAAACCAACACAAGGCACATGGCCCGCCGCTGGGATCGAACCCGGCATTCGCATCGAGTCTTTATCAGCTGTTCAGTGTTTCTCAGCATTTGTTTCTGTTCAGGCTTGCCGTGTTCAAGTATCTCTCAATGTGTCTGAGAAGTAATAATTAGAGCCAAAGAAGAGTCGTTGCAATGGGGTACATAATTAGAGCCAAAGAAGAGTCGTGGCAATGGGGGGTTGGAGACCACTGAAGTATTACGACAATTCTAAATGCTGGGAATTGATCAGATAATACCTAATTGGAAACATATTTTATTGCTGAGAATTTATGGGGAAAATTTCTATTTGGGAACATATTTTATTGCTGAAAATGTATGGGAACAATTCCTTATTGGGAACATATTTTATTGCTGAGAATTTATGGGGAAAATTCCTAATTTTGAACATATTTTATTGCTGAGAATTTATGGGGGAAATTCCTAATTGGGTACATATTTTATTGCTGAGAATTTATGGGGGAAATTCCTTATTAGGAACATATTTTATTGCTGAGAATTTGTGGGGAAAATTCCTAATTGGGAGCATATTTTATTTGCTGAGAATTTATGGTGAAAATTCCTAATTGGGAACATATTTTCTTCCTAAGAATTTATGGGAAAAATTCTTAATTGGGTACATATTTTAATGCTGAAAATTTATGGAGGAAATTCCTTATTAGGAACATATTTTATTGCTGAAAATTCATGGGGAAAATTCATAATTGGGAAAATATTTTATTGCTGAGAATTTATGGAAAAAATTCCTAATTGGGAACATATTTTATTCCTGAGAATTTATGGGAAAAATTCTTAATTGGGTACATATTTTAATGCTGAGAATTTATGGGGGAAATTCCTTATTAGGAACATATTTTATTGCAGAAAATTTATGCGAAAAATTCCTAATTGGGAACTAATTTTATTGCTGAGAATTTATGGTGAAAATTCCTAATTGGAAACATTTTGATGCTGAGAATTTATGGGGAAAATTCCTTATAAAGACATATTTTATTGCTGAGAGTTTTGTGGAAACATTTCTAATTAGGTCATTTCTGAATGCTGAGAAGTGACTGGAAATTTCTGTCTTCTGTTTTTCTTTCACTTGTATCTTCTTTTTCTATTTCTCCTCTGTCTTTTTATCCTCTTCCTTCTTCTACTGCTACTACTTCATACACTTTTAGATATCAGCCTGAATATATATTTTAAAAAAAACCAGCAGTCGTTGAGAATCTCTTGACACCTCTATGAAGTTTGTCCTCAAAAGATATCAGTGACGACTAATCTAATTCTAGATATGCTGTACACACTTGCAGCAAATGTTTAGCTGCCATTTACTAATTCCACAGTCAGTTCATTATTTTTCTATACTGGGCTGAAGTGGCACGTATACCACAGGCTAGCTGTAAACCACAGCACAATGCGTCAGTTTTAGAGTGAATGAAGAAAAAGAAGTTTAATAAGCAAGTTGTGTGACAGCCAGTTATGTGTCAAGATGTGGTTGTATAATGTGTCCCTTTGGGAAGACATTGCTTTCAGCCACAAGTTGAACACACTCCTTCTTCTTCCTCTTTCTTTTGCCGTCAAACTGTTACTAGGTTGTAGCTCAATAATGTGGTTTTTAGTATTTATCTTGCCCTCTTGTTTTTGTCTGGTAGCTTGAGTAAAGGTTTTGTTCGTTTTTGCAAGATTCATCTGCACCACCATCTGTGCATCTCTTCTTTTATCTTCCTCTCGCTTGCCACCTAAATGTTCAGAGAAAATATTTAAGTAAACTCTAATTAAATAGTTGCCTGATTCTGAGAAAGAGATGAAAGTTGGCTGATTCGGAGAAAGAGATGAAAGTTGGCTGATTTGGAGAAAGATATGAAAGTTGGCTGATTCGGAGAAAGAGATGAAAGTTGACTGATTCGGAGAAAGAGATGAAAGTTGGCTGATTTAGAGAAAGAGATGAAAGTTTGCTGATTCGGAGAAAGAGATGAAAGTTGGCTTGAATGTTTTCTGTGTTGAACAGGTACTGGTCCTTGATTGATGATGCACTCCGGGAAGCAGCAGTTGATCGTCATGTCCGGGTCTACCTCATGGCCAGCAACTGGAGCCACACAGAATCCTACATGATCCCATTCCTCAAGTCCCTCTATATATTAAACAGGACACCTCATCTACGTGTAAACATACAAGTGGTGGGTATCCTGTAAACCGCTTGTGCTTTTTCTTCTTTTTCTTCTTCTTCATATTATTTTTCTTCTTCCTCTTCCTCTTAATTTTCTTCTTCTTCTTCTTCTTCTTCTTCTTCTTCTTCTTCTTCTTCTTCTTCTTCTTCTTCTTCTTCTCCTCCTCCTCCTCCTTTCCCCCTTCTCCCCCTCTTCTTCTTCTCTAGTTTTGTGTAGAAACTTCCAGATTTTCCTCCAGTATTTTTACATGTAAACCCCCACATCCTCTTTTGTGACTGTGACAAGATCTTCAGATTTTTTGGGGGCATATTTCTTGTCTTGAAGGACTTACCAGTGGGGTGCCTATTTTACATTTAGATCCACTAAACAAAGTTTGGTGCTGTCTCCACATTGAAGGTTGCCTACAGTGTACTTGCCTACAGTGTACTTGCCTACAGTGTACTTGCCTACAGTGTACTCGCCTACAGTGTACTCGCCTACAGTGTACTCGCCTACAGTGTACTCGCCTACAGTGTACTTGCCTACAGTGTACTTGCCTACAGTGTACTTGCCTACAGTGTACTTGCCTACAGTGTACTCGCCTACAGTGTACTCGCCTACAGTGTACTCACTACCTTCCTTTGGAAGACTACATGGGGAGGCCCAACCTCTTCCACAATGTGACTGTCTGAAAACGCCAGTATTGAAAAGCAAAATAAACTGCCCCTTTGGAAGTTGAACCCTAGTACTCAGGGTTTTGAATTATATGAGCAACTGCTTTTGTCGACGATGAAGTGCATTTCTAGTGTTGAAATATTTGTGTTGGCACTTCTGATGGCTGAATTTAATATCTATGTATGCTATTGGCTTTACTGAGACTGCAGATCATGTCAGTTTTTTGGCAGGGGACAGGGATGGACATTCTGTGTGTGTGGTTTTCATCGCCGCAGCCACGGAGCAGCTGTGTGGGTGACCTGTGTGGGTGACCTGTGTGGGTGACCTGTGTGGGTAACCTGTGTGGGTGACCTGTATGGATGACCTGTGTGGGTGACCTGTGTGGGTAACCTGTGTGGGTAACCTGTGTGGGTGACCTGTGTGGGTGACCTGTGTGGGTGACCTGTGTGGGTGACCTGTGTGGGTAACCTGTGTGGGTGACCTGTGTGGGTGACCTGTTTGCTATCAAGTTGAAATTACAGTTACATGATTACTCACAATGAAGGAAATGATTACACTGACCTCCAAGCCACACCTTCTAGACATGAACTGAACAAGAAGAAGATAACCAGAGCACATGGTATTATCTCTCAGTGAATGTTATGCATGTTGTTATGCTCATCTTATTTCTGATTTTGTTCTTTGATTCTCTCTATTCTGACATTACGAAAACTCTAGACACAAAATTAGACAGTTTTGAAAATAAATGCCTTAGAAGAATACTAAATTTCAAATGGTCAGATTTCCGAACCAATACACAAATAAGGCAAGAATCCAGGCAAGAGTATGTGTCTAATTTTATACGAAAACGCCGCTGGAACTATGTCGGCCACGTCCTTAGAATGGATAAAATCAAGACTTCCTTACCAAGCCCTCATTTTGGACACCACAGGGGAAAAGATCTCGTGGAAGACCCAAGGAACCCTACGCTAGAACTATCATCAGGGAAGGCTCGCTCATGGGCCACTCAAACATCCAAGACCTACAACGGATTGCAACGGACCGCCGTGCATGGAGAGTCACGACCTCTGCCCTATGTGCCGCACTCGACACAAGAGGAAAGACTAACTAACTAACTAAATTCTGACATTGCTTTGTAGAGTAGAATAAACTCATTGACTGTCAATTGTTGCAGAAACTGTTCACTGTACAGTCAACCCCGGCTCAGCAGACGATTCCGTACGCTCGAGTCAACCACAGCAAATACATGGTAACAGACCAGCATGCCTATATAGGTAAGCCCAGCCCACTGAACCTCCTTCTGTTGTTGTTGTTGTCAGCGTAGTTTTTGTGTGAGCTTCTTCTGTCCTTGATCTCCCAGTCAAGCTTAGGCCCTCAGCAAACTCACACTAAGTCATCCTATCCTTTGCTCACCCATACCCTTCACATCTGTTTAACTTCATTCTCCAGTTCCCTTCTCCAGGTGTAATTTTGGTCTGCCTTTACTGTTATGCCCCTGTGGGTTCCAGTGTAAAGACATTATAGTTATTTCGTTATCAGGGTTTCTCAAACATAACATAACCCTTGATCCATTAGGGTCATGGAGGTGTATTGATGGAAGCACTAGCACATAATACACGCCCTCTTTCTCTGTCTTCCGCTTGATGAATAAGTGTATGATAACTTAGTCCTGTTCATTTCTTGATCTTGTCATTCCAGTTCTTCTTTGCCCTCCTCTTCTTCGGCTACGGTAACGGCTACCACCCCCCCCCCCCCCCCCCGCCCCAACTCGCCCCAAAAAAAACACCTACCCCCCCCCCCCCCCCCCCCCTCATGTTCCTTGAAGTATAGTCTTTGTAATCGAATTATGTCTCACCACGTGCCCCAACCAAGCTAGCTTGCAAAATTTCACCACTGCCAAGAGAGACAGAGGTGTCTCGCAAATTTGTATATTTTGTCTCTGACGCATTTGTAAGTTTTATGTTCTAGATAACTAATTTGTAAAATGCATCTATAGCATTGACATTCAAAAGCCTGAATCCTCCTTTCCATTTTCACACTGAGAGTCACAGGGTTTGTCACTGCATGTCCTATCCAACACCAGCATCTTTTCTTCACCTCTTGATTTTGTTCTGTCCCAAAACTCCACATCAGTAATTCTCTCATGACATTTAATTTTCTCTGTTCTGCGCTGGCACCAGTTAATGAATGTTTGTAGTTTATTAATAATTGTTTTAGTTGTTCTCCATATTTCAGCTCTGTATTTCCTGAACTTAGCAATCTTTGAATTTTGGGGCTCTATTGTGTCACCAGTTTTGTGGGTGTGAAAATACATGTGACAGGGGAGTTTGTATGGTCTTCCTGGGGGCTGTGATGAGGCTGCCCCTCATTCAAGGGACCTTTAGCATGATGATGATGTACCTGGGTCAGGGTCTATACTCATCAGGACTGCTCTTCACATACATTTAAGATATCCTGGGCAAAGGCTAGTGTGGCAAAGAGAGGGGAGTCCGTAGTTTCAGCTGTTGTAAAGCCTGCCTGGGACTTCAGCTTTGCATACCCACATTCAAAAAACAATGTAAAGTGGTCAAGCCATATGCCTCTAGCTTTGAAGGCAGTGGATATTTATTTTATGGTGGCAACGTTCAGTCCACAATGCTACACTCACAGACCAAGCCAAAATGGATCAAATGTGATGCAATGTTGCAACTTTATGAGATTTCAAGAGATTCAAAACTATTCTCTGTGCCAACGGTACGCAGCCAGAACCCAAATTTTACACTTCCTTCTAGGGGAACTCGGGTTCAAAGTGTGTGCAGTGCTTGCCTGCATTTCTAAGAATAACCTGCTACATCTTCTTTTTTCTTCCTCTACATCTTCTTCTTTTTTCTTTCTCTAGGTCATCTTCTTCTTTCTTCCTCTACGTCTTCTTCAGCTTGTAACAATTGTAACCAACTCACAGAGCATGATCAGAAGTTTGGAGACAGGTATGCTGCATGCAGAGTGGCAAGCATTGCTTCAGAGGTCCCGGGTAGTTAGCGTCCTTCAGATAATTTCTTCAGGTCATGCTGTTCGTTTTGAAAATGGACGGCGGATGGACTTACTGGTTCTGCACGATTTGGCGCTGAATTGGTGCATGACAAACTAGATGCTGTAAGGGTCCGTAGGGAATGAGTAAACAGTGCAGAAGCACAAATAGAGAAGAATGGTGCTGCGAGGAGGGACCCTTTAGATGTCCCTGATGGTCAGCACTCAAGGGACAGATGGAATAGATGTTCATTCAGCATTCATTCTTCTTCAGTTGCTTTTTTCTTCTTCCTCACTCATGTTCTCATACCGCTTTCTCCCCGTCCTTCTTCTCTTCTCACCTCTCCCATCCTCCTCCTCTTCTCCTTTTTCTTCTTTGTCTTTGTCTTCCGTTTTTCATTTCCCAGTGGAGTATAGATCCTCAGTCGAACCATTCCAAGCCCTTAGTAGAAATGCTGATAGTTGGATTTTGCAGCTAAGGTTTTCTATGGAATAATTTATCCAATCTCATACCAGTCCTCCTGAAGCCCTAACATGAGCACTGAACCACACTTAGACAAACTGGAACCATACACAAGCTGATACGAACTTCCTGATGAGACATGTCCACACTGACTGACACTTGTGGGTTCCAGGATCCCATTGTGGGGGTCAAAAGAATAGACCCACTGCCCCCCAACAAGGGTGACATTAAAGTCGACTGATTTGGGGTGGTTCCTTGGAAGTCGGAGTACATCGGCCTGAGAGGCAAGGAACCAACACGCCAGCTCTGTAAAATGGATGTGTATGCAAAACTCATGTTCCAGAACAAGACTAAAGTCCAGAAGTGGACAAACAACCAGAGCTTTCCACAGGACTTTACAGCTGGTGAATGTGAAGAAGAAGAAGAAGAAGAAGAATACACTTCTTCATAATTGTTCCTCTTGCTACAGATATCGTTTGTCTAGCACTAACTGAAATCACTGACCTGATCAACTGTTCTCACATTTAGGCACATCCAATTGGGCGGGGGATTACTTCAAGTATACTGGAGGTGTTGGGTTTATTCTGGAACAGCCTGACACTGGCACCAATGGGACCAATCTTCGACGGCAGCTGGTGCATACATTCCTGCAGGACTGGCACTCACAGTATGCACAATATGTCCTCTAACATTGTTCAGTGTTGAGAATGTTTCTTCTTCTTCTAGTCCTGTTCTGCCTTTCAGCATCAGGTTTTGGTATGTACTACATAGCTGCTAGTATTTACAGTATTCCATCTATCCATCGCTTGCATGGTCAACCTCTAATTCTTGTTCCATTGTGTCTTGAGTGACAGGAAAAGGATTCTTGCTACTGAAATGTTCTCAGCCGGTCTTCACATGATAATGAGACAGAAACAGGCTTAGTGGTCAAGTCATTTCATTGATAAAATCTGTTAGTCAATTATTTGAATAAAATAATGATCTAAGGAAGTTAGTCTTTCCTTTACATTTTGGTGTAGTGTGCTGAATGCCTAACCTTGTCAGATAAGGCCACATAAATGTCAGATCCAGTGTTAAACTGACAGGGTTTGGAGGGTGATAATCATCAGTAGAACATCAACAGATCAAATGATTTGGTCATCTGGTCAGAATAGAACAAAATCAGCCAGCAGCTAGAGTGTACTATATAAGAACAGCAGACTGCAAGGCAAGAGGCTGACCAAGAAAGAAACGGATCGATGTAGTAAAAATATAATTACAGAAGGGCCATATGACATTTAACACAAGCTATGCAAAAAGCAGGAAACTACATCTGACTCATGTCTGTGACATTTTATGGCATGACCAGTAGGATAGAAGAAGAAGAAAAGGAATAATCGTCAGTATTTGGCTGACTTGACCATTTCCTGTCAAAATGTGAAAAGCTGACCCATACTAGACTATTTGAAGCATAAAAGTTTCCTGTGTGATTGTGGAAACTCAGGGAGAAAAACCATGACATTCCTTTACTAAGAATGTGTTTGAGCAGTCATAAAGACAGGTTTATGGGGAAGTAACAAGAAAAGGGAGGTCAGACGGTTTAGCATCCTTGCGTGGAAGAAGATGGTCAGACAAGATTGACAGTACATGACACAGAAAGCTGTGGGTAGACAGGATTATCAATGCCACACTGCATGGACTTTCAGAAGAAAAGTTTAAATAACCTTATGTCAGTTTTTAGTCTGAATAATCTGCCACAACATTACCTGATTACATGAATTGTTGCATGTTGTAAGTGAACGCTTTGTTACATTTTGTAACTCATCATATGTGTTTTGTTACATATTGTAACTTATCACATGTGTTTTTGTTACACATTGTAACTTATCACATGTGTTTTGTTACACATTGTAACTTATCACATGTGTTTTGTTACACATTGTAACTTATCACATGTGTTTTGTTACACATTGTAACTTATCACATGTTATAACTAATTAAATCTGTTCTATTGTATTTTGTAACTGATTGCACATCTTATATTGCATTTGTAGCTGACCGTATGGATTATGTTGTAAAAATGATCAGATATGTTGCATGTTGGATTTTAGAAAAATGAAAACAGAGCAAAAATCACAAATGTATAATCAGATTACTGATAATGTTACTAGTGTTGTTACTGAATGTTGAATTAAGAATTGACATCACAGCACTGTGGCAGACTATTGAGTACTGGGGCAGACTATTGAGTACTGTGGCAGACTATTGAATACTGGGGCAGACTATTGAGTACAGGGGCAGACTATTGAGTACTAGGGCAGACTATTGAATACTGGGGCAGACCATTAAGTACAGGGGCAGACCATTAAGTACTGGGGCAGACTATTGAGTTCTGGGGCAGACTATTGAGTACTGGGGCAGACTATTGAGTTCTGGGGCAGACTATTGAGTACTGTGGCAGACTATTGAGTACAGGGGCAGACTATTGAGTACTGTGGCAGACTATTGAGTACTGTGGCAGACTATTGAGTACTGTGGCAGACTATTGAGTACTGTGGCAGACTATTGAGTACAGGGGCAGACTATTGAGTACTAGGGCAGACTATTGAATACTGGGGCAGACCATTAAGTACAGGGGCAGACCATTAAGTACTGGGGCAGACTATTGAGTACAGGGGCAGACTATTGAGTACTGTGGCAGACTATTGAGTACAGGGGCAGACTGTTGAGTACTAGGGCAGACTATTGAGTACTGGGGCACTCTGTTGAGTACTTGGGCAGACTATTGAATACTGGGGCAGACTATTGAGTACAGGGGCAGACCATTAAGTACTGGGGCAGACTATTGAGTACTAGGGCAGACTATTGAGTACAGGGGCAGACTATTGAGTACTAGGGAAGACTATTGAGTACAGGGGCAGACTATTGAGTACTGTGGCAGACTATTGAGTACTGTAGCAGACTATTGAGTACTGTAGCAGACTATTGAGTACTAGGACAGACTATTGAGTACAGGGGCAGACTATTGAGTACTGTGGCAGACTATTGAGTACTGTGGCAGACTATTGAGTACTGTGGCAGACTATTGAGTACTGTGGCAGACTATTGAGTACTGTGGCAGACTATTGAGTACTAGGGCAGACTATTGAGTACAGGGGCAGACTTTTGAGTACTGTGGCAGACTATTGAGTACTGGGGCAGACTATTGAGTACTGGGGCAGACTATTGATTACTGGGGCAGACTATTGAGTACAGGGGCAGACTATTGAGTACTGGGGCAGACTATTGATTACTGGGGCAGACTATTGAGTACAGGGGCAGACTATTAAGTACTGGGGCAGACTATTGAGTACAGGAGCAGACTATTGAGTACTGGGGCAGACTATTGAGTACTGGGGCAGACTATTGAGTACAGGGGCAGACTGTTGAGTACTAGGGCAGACTATTGAGTACAGGGGCAGACTATTGAGTACAGGGGCAGACTGTTGAGTACTAGGGCAGACTATTGAGTACAGGGGCAGACTATTGAGTACTGGGGCAGACTGTTATGTACTGGGTCAGACTATTGAGTAATTATGGAAACTTTTATAAATGATTACCTAACCCTGTCTCCCCAAGACAGGCAGTTTTCTGGCTTATACCGGTTTTTGTTGTCATGACGTCTTTGTTCAGTGTCTAGTTACACTTTTTTAACAGATATGGTACTGCTTGTAACAACATTGTGTGTAGAAATGGTGCATGTGATTTGTTTGTGTCATAGGGATGGTATAATATACTTATGATGATGACACTTTGTCTCTTTCGCTGTGTCAACAAAACACACATTTCCTTGGTCAAAGGGAATGAAAGAAGTTATTTCTTTGCTCAATTTATAATTAGTGATTATTTCCCTTCATAAAAAAAAAAACCTTTGTTTAAACTAATAACTTTAAATTTGAAACATTCGTCCTTTTTTTTTTGGGTATAACTTGCAAGCTGTGATGAAACAGTAGGTTGCAAGCTTACCTATCTGCTCAGTGGTCTTAGGTTTCAACCACCTGGAATTGTATAAAAAACTGACCAAAACTCAAAAATGGCTTCTGCTCCTTCTTCTCTTTCTCTTAGGATTGTGTGTCAGAGAATTATAAGGATGTGTTTCCTTTTTTACATGGTTTCCTACAGGAAATTGTTTTTAAATATTTGTACGGGGAAGGGTTAATATACATAAAGGAACATTATTTCATACGACTGACAGTTTTAGTCTGGCTTTCTGATCATGAACTAACCTGATTCGTTATATTAGTGAATGTGAATGTTTGTGTGTAAGTATGTGTGTGCATGTGTGTGTGTGACTAAAATAACTTACCAGCATTTATTCAGTCCTGGCCTCTCACTTGATTACCTCATTTTAGCAATCATTCTTTTTTATCTTTTTACTGAAATAAAATCTCAGAAATTTACATGACTTTGTAGTTTCATTGAAATGGACTTTTTTTACAGTCATTGTGGTTATATTGTTCTCTTTCTCTGCATTTCTCGTCCCTCTATCTTTCTTTCTTTCTTACTCACATACACATGTATCCATATGCACATACACACACACATCCGCAGAGGCATGCATACACATTCGCACACATGTACATACACAGAGAGAGAGAGAAAGAGAGTCTGTCCACCTCTATCTCTCATTCGTACTCACATACACATTAATCCATATACACATACACACACATCCACACAGGCATGCATACACATTGGCATGCATGTACATACACACACAGAGAAAAAGAGAGAGAGTCTATCCCCCCCTGTCTTCCCTCAAGTGTTTCAGCACATGGGATCCCAACATCAGTACAGCAGGTAAACAACTGCTGTCACACCTGAGATACATTGTGGGTTAGACCCATATTCCTAGGCAGATCAACTCTCACTGGGTGATGTGATCATTTAGATGCTGACCGCCTTTACTTCCCAAGACATTTTAAGGTGTCTGTTTTCAAATAGGTTGATCTTAGAGCAGATAGTGTATAGATCGGCACTCACAGAAAGAAGTAGAAAGATAAAAGAACACAATAGACAACATAAAAATCGAAAGCTATAGTTACTGTGCCAGGAATTCAAACCTGTCACCTCCAAATGGCTTGTGTGCCTCACTATGGATACATATGCACTAAGAACATGACCAGCTAGGCACCCTCTGAAAAGTTGTCTTAATTGGACATGTCTATCGTACAGCTTGAAATCCACAGCTATGGAATATGGACAGACTTCATTTCAAACCATTGAAATGGCACCATAGGTTACAGAAATTGATATTAGCGAAGCATAGGTCGAATAACAAATACAGCAACGATTTACAAACACATTAGACCGCAATGCTTTGTCTATAATACACAAACATTTAAGAAAGGTATTTGATTGGTTGGTTATATTGTGTATACATCATTCACATAAATAAACAACAGGAGAACACTTAAGACTGTAGAAATATATTAAGTGTAATAAATAAACAGACACTGTATTGATTATCACTCATAGAAACAAGTAGAAATATAGAAGAACACACTAAACAACATAAAAATTCGAAAGCTATAGTTACCATGCCGGGAATCGAACCTGTCACCTCCAAATGGCATGTTTATTTATGTGTGCTTAGAGCAGGACTTGCTAGTCACACAGGCAATGCCATTCCTATGCCACCATAAAGCACAATTTAACATCATCATCATCGTGGATTTCCACTTCTGCCGTTAAGCGTCATGGTTGGAGGTGGGGGAGGAGCTGTTTATGATTCATTGCTTGTCTGTCTGTATCGACGTAGAAGTTCTATAATGTCATCAGTCCATATTCTTGCAGGGTGACCTCTTGAACTAGAAATGCATAGATGCAGTCACGTGGTGACTTAACCCACCAGGAAACTAAGATATTAATAAAGACTTGTATCCAAGAAAGGTGGCTGGATGAAAATGAAGGACCCCTTTCCACGCCATTGGTTGGAAACCCGCACAAAATTATCACCCCATAACATTTTATTACCTTTCAAGGAAGGGTCAATGTATTATATGCAGACTTGGGACAAGGCAACAACAGACTTTGTCAACATATGCTCCAGTTTTTCGGTATGGGAAACACAGAGATGTGACCCTGCAACTTGGGAGGCCATCTGGTCTGTTGAACCGCAATCAAAATCAAGCTGTATGGCACACGGGGAGATTTGGACTTCGAGACAGCTTTCTTTAAGGCTACTGGCTTCCTTGTGTCAGCTTTTCTAACACAAGGATTGAAGAAGATAAGAAAGTGCTGGGTGTGTATAGGTGAGAGCAGTTTCTGTACAGCAGACTTCTTGACAATTGTCAGACAGCCTAGGTGGCGTAGTGGTCAGACTCTTGCCTACCGGCCCAAGATATACCTGGGTTCGAATCCGCACCAGGTGGATTTAAAAAAAAAAAAACATTTACTCCCAGGACAACAAAGCCTTAAAGGGGTATCGGGTTATGTCCTGTGAAGTAAAGGCAACTAGTGTGATGTTGACCGCTTCGCCAAACGAGAATCTCTGAACATATTTACTTGCTCCACTAGGTCCTGTAACTCTAGCTGATTTCATGATAGAACAGTGTGTCTTCGCAATATCTCAGGATCCACATTATTTAAATGCCTTATGGGAGAACATTGTTTTGAATTCATTGAGAAACAGAAGAGCGAATGGTTTGGTCATTTATTAAGAATGCAGCCAGAACAACTACCAATACAGGCGTTACACATGAACAGATCTGAAGTGAAAGCAAGAGGCTGTCCTAGGAGAAATGGATTGATGACATTAAAAAGCGTCTTCATCGATACGGAAAACAGTAGCTATTGCTGCCCATCAAGCGATGGATCACAAACTGTTCCTCCCCACAACGCTTAACGACAGAAGTGAAAACTGATGATGATGGTGATGATTGATTTGAATATCTCAGATTGTTTACTATTCTTCTATTGCCGTTCTATCTATCTAGTAATCTGGTAATTCTAGTTTCAGCTTCATAGCAAACGGGTCACCCCATAGTTGCTCCGCCCCTGTGCCAACGAAAAACACACGTAGCTCACAGTGTCACGCCATGCACTCAACTCAGAAGCTGAGCGACGAAACTATATCCTTGCAGTCTACAAATGGACGTACTCTGCGTGTAAAGTTTTTTGTATACACTTTTGAAAAGGCTTGTGAACGAAGCGAATCCCTGACGTAGTGCTCTTCGGTTTGTGTGCATTATGAGCCTAGAACACTCAGTACTGAATCAAAGGCGTTATTTTGAAAATATTTAGTGCTTTTTGTTTCTGAGAAAGAATGCTGGTACATACGGCAAAATGTCTAAAAAGAGGTCGATTCTTATCACAAAATATCTATTACAGAAGTGCTGGAAAATCACGTAAGTTTAAAAAAAAAAAGAATTTTCGGTACTGCGTACTGTTGTGTACCAGCCAGAAAACAAAAGTTTTGACCTTATTTAGTGTTACTCAGTGGTGGCGATTATTTATATTGTATTCCATTTCCATCTGCAAGCTGCTACGTGAAGGTTTAATCCTCCTGAGATTAGAAAACCTCAGTCCGGATGGCAGACCAACACGCCAGTCCCTGTTTAATCTATGAAGAAGTTATTGATGGGGCACCGCTAACGGCTGTGCCAGCCTCATGGAACCTACTGTTGTGTACGGGAACTGAGAAACCCATTTCTGATTTGTTAATAAGAATCTAGTTTAACCCACATTCCCTCCAAAACTGTATTCTGTAGGCTGAATACCTCAAGGATGAGAATCAATCAGTTAGCAATCGCAGAAACTAGGTTCAACTGTTGATCGTATACGTCGATCAGTTTTGCAGATCAGCTAACATCGGCATAGAGTACAACATTAGAGAATTACTAAATGAAATGAATAGCTTTTCGCCGATGACCAGGCAACCAAAGCAACAACAGTAACACAACTACAAGAACATATTGATAGACTTCACTCAGAATGCGACAACTATGATATGAAGATCAACGTAGACAAAACACAAGTTATGACATTCTCCTAAAAAGGAAAAGCCACCAGCAAAATCAAAACTGATAAACACCAGGTGAAGGATTAAACATATCTGTGGAGCATTTTAATTTTTTTTTTTTTTTAGAAGATGGAAGAATTAATAAATAAATCCAACAAAGATACGATTAAAGACATTCAAGTTTTAGGCCGTAAAAAAAAAATGATTTGACTAAAAAGCTCAACAAAATGGGGAAGCAGGAAAGCGTGCACAAAACAACACAAATAACGTAACGTTTCGGCCGGGCAGCCTTTGTCAAACTCTGGAATTCCAAGTTTTAGGCCGCATGGCACAAATTGTGAAATGCAAGCATGTGAGTTTGAACACTATAAGTACACTGTTTAACACAGTGTTATTACCAATGCTATGAACACTATAAGTACACTGTTTAACACAGTATTCTTACCAATGCTATGCAATCAGTGTCAGACATGGACACTATCTTTATAAGAAGAAGAAAAAATGGTCACGACAGAAATGAAATGTTTACGTACTTCAAGTACACAGTAAACAAGTAATACTTGTTACGAGAAAATGTCGACTTAGGAACGATGATATCAGGAGAAGAATCGGCACAGACCCAATACTGAACTTTATATGTAGACAACAAATCAAATGGTTTGGCCATGTAACAAGACTGACATCAGACAGGGCGCCACAGAGCAATGTTATACAGATACAACGGTAACACACCCAGAGGTCGACCACGCAGAAATGGACCGCTGAAGTATCGGACACTGAAAAGTTTTACGAAGGAAACAGAACATTCATCGACAGTTAACTAAGGTGGAAAGTTCTGATTGTTTGGTCACTTCTCAACCTTGCCTGCACTGACGCCGCGAGGCATTCCAGAAGTAGACGAAATAAGAGAAGAAAATACAAGAACTGATCGTTACTAATAGGAGTGGTCATACATTTACTTTTATAGGGAGATGCTTTTGTCACTTGGAAGTGACAGGCTCGATTCCCGGCATGGTAACAATAGCTTTCGATTACCAGCATGCCTAGTTTGTCTTCTTATCTCTCGACTTGTTTCTATGAGTGTCGATCAGTTTTTGTATATTTGTTTATTATGTTGTTCGTCCATCACGAGTAATAAAGACCACGTTTATCCAAAGTAGTCATGATTATGAGTACGAAGCTGGCTGATTTTCCAATGTGAGACAGTAAAGTTCTTGAGCAGTGCAGACAACAGATGGAAGCCGCAGTAAGTGTGGGATTAGCAGTACGATTCTTTCTAGTCTGTCTCCGCTTCTCTGCCTGTTCAACCTCCGCTGCCTGGCAGGCCTATGCACTATGCCTGAGGGACGTACGCCATCCAGAATGAACTTGCGCAGCAGCTTCTCACGTCGCTGTGCTGATGCCAATTTATTTATTGCATCCTCGGTCTCAAGGGATTTACCGTCTGTTGAGCCGCATAACTCAGCAATATTGGAGCACATGACGGTTGAAAAGTAGCCTCTGGTCCATTTTTGGTGGCAGTAAGTGACATATAAGCTCACCAGCACCGCACAACGAGCTATAAACACCCAGAGAATCACCCGGACACAGAAATTGCCCCAGAAACCTCGGTCAACCGTTAGTTATACTAGAGCTCCCCGACTGCAGCCGGGATGGGGCTTTAAAATTATAAAAATTGCGTCCCACACTGGGGAGATTTTATTGTTGGTGAGTGGGATTATGGTCTTTAAATATCCCCGCATCCTGGAATGTGACCTGGGTTGACCTTGCGTTTTCTAGAATGTGACCTATGTTAACCTAATGAAATTGCTGACCTGGCGTGATTTATTCTCTTTTAGTTCTAACAATCGATATCTAGTGTCTCCAACTGTTATCTTGTCTAACCCCCATATTTCCACTTCTGTCCCAGTGTCCCCAGCGATGTCAGCAAATAAGCCCCCCCCCCCCCCGACCCCCTCCCGTTTTCTTTCCTTAGTTCACGTGCCAGACATCACGGCTCTACATGATGCTGACAGCTAAAAACTTGGACTTCCGGCCGAATGTAACGGACAAAATTCACTTGTTTGCAAGAAAATGGAGCTGGGACTGTTGAACGTTATTCTCTGGTGTAGCTTGTTCCTCGGCGTTCGAGCACAAGCCTACAAACTGAAAGAGCCGGTCAAGATTACAGATGCTAACTGGACTAGTGTCATGGACGGGGAATGGATGATAGAATTGTAAGTCAAGTGGCTGGTAGTCAGCCTAACCTAAGGGCCCTAGGCCATTATTTTGTGTGTCTTGGGTCGGAATAATTTCCCCCGGTAAAAACGAAAACGCAACACGAAAATATTTGGGCAATCCCTCGGGTTGTACCGTTCGGTCACTTGTAAGTGTGTCATTACACTGCGATTTTGAGTTAAACAAAATTGACACAGTACAGTGAGTAGACACTGGACAATAGAAAGGGGGGGGGGGGGGAAAGGAAATTTTCATTGACTCAACTCTTTTTCAGATGAGTACCAGATTACTAATTGTACTTCATCCCTGCCTTGAGTTTGTATATTTTATAACAGCAGTTTTTTTTTTAAAGCATCAGTGAGGTAGGCGTTTAAATGGATGCACAGACTGTTCAACCAAGAGACACTGGAGGATTGGAGAAATGCAATAATAGTAGTACCCATCTGGAAGAAGAAAGGCAGCAAGAGAGACTGAGAACTATAGAGGAATTTCATTATTGAGCCACACCAGACAAATATTTGGTAAGATCCTTGAGGTTACTTCCCATCATCGAACCACAACTTACTGAAGGACAGATGCTATTTCAGAAGAACAGAAATTGTATTAATGCAATATCCACACTTAGACAATTAGTTCGATAAAGAATGACACCTCACATTTGTGGACCAAGAGAAAGCTTTCAGTTGAGTTAACAGGTTTATATTATGGACGGTACTACAGGATTACAGAGTAAATGAACACCTTATTAAATTGTGGAAAAGTTTGTACGTGAACAGTCAATGTACAGTTAGAACAAATACAGGAATGACAGAAAAGTTCTGCAGTAGATCTGGAGTGAGACAAGGATGTGTTCTATCAACATTACTGTTAATCATATATGTTGAACAAATTCAGAAATCAGCTAACGTTAGCAAAGGGGTCAGTAGCATAGAGTTACCTAATGAATTGCTTTTCACTGACGACCAAGCAGTTATAACATCAATGGCAATACAACTACAAGAACGTATTAAGAAACTCCACTCAGAATGCGACAACTATGATATGAAGAGAAACGTAGACAGAACAGAAGTTATGATATTCTCTAGAAAAGGAACAACCAGCAGGGGCTGTGTTAGCGCAGTCAATAGGAGACTCACTTTCAAATCCAGCTGCGACTCACAACAGCCCACGACCATTGTTAAAAACTGGGCGGTTTCCAGATTTCACCCAGCCTCTAGGAAATTGGTACCAGAGTTAACTCTCTAGGGTAAATGGAAGATCGTTGCTGTAGCTACGCAGTTGCGTGTGGGTGGCGACACACGCGGACAGTTTTTAATCAGCTGTTTGTGCTGGTGGCAGAGCACTTATGGTTTATAACCGTGTGCAGTGACGCTGGTTTACATCTCCCGACTTTACCTTTACTTTAACCAGCAATATCAAAACTGATGGACACCGGTTAGAGCAGGCGAGGGAGCTTTTTTCCTCCAAAGACAGAAGAATTAATAAAGAAATCTAACAAAGATGCAACAAAGCCAGTCAAGTTTTAGGTCAAATGGCTCACATTTTCAAACTAAATTTTGAATATGAAAACTATAAAAACACTGTTCAACATAGTATCCTTATCAATATTATGCTATCATTGTCAAACATGGACACTATCTTCAAAAGTAGAAGAAAAAATGGTCACGACAGAAATGAAATGTTTATGTACTCTGCTAGGTGTAACAAGGAAAGTTTGACTTAGGAATGATGCTATCAGGAGAGTCTTCACAGAACCAATACTGAACTTTACAGGTAGACAACAGATCAAATGGTTTGGCCATGTATCAAGATTTGCATCAGTCAGGGCACCACAGCGATAAGTGTTAAAAGATATAACGGTAACAGATCCAGAGATTGACCATGCAGATTGTGGACCGCATAAATATTACAGACACTGTACCAAGCAAACAAAAGGGCTCATTTCTGAGGTTTCTTTCTGCCCTAACACCGAGGCATTCCAGAAGTGGAGAACAGGAGAAGAATTGCATTAAACTGTGAAAAATATGAGGGACAAGTTCAAGAAGAGTTGGGAAAAAAAATCTCCCAAGTGATGTTTCACTATAGGAACAAATATACGGAACTTGCTCAGCTGGACATCAGAACCTGCTTTTTCCTATGTTTTTCGTGAAAGCCAGGCAGTCCTTGGCAATACTTCAGACGGTGCATCTATGGGATACAGGCTAATATTTGTGTATTTTCACATAATATTGTTTAGTAATATTTAATATTGCTTCATGTTAGAGTTATGGTTAGCCCCAACCCTTACCTCAAACAGAATTGAATATTAAAGAGTATTATTATGGGAACTTACACAAACAATGGATTGTTTCTCCTAGGATTGACATTTAAAGTATTATCAATCGACAACAGATTGCTTCCCCTAGGGTCACTGTTTGATGTATTGCCCAATCCTTTATCATTATTTGCCTCACTTTAACCTTTTATTAGTTGGACGTACAACTTCAGTGTTGAACATATAGCCATTTTTGTGATCAGTGTGTTATGTAGAGTAGTCTGACATACTTCACTGTTGAACATACAGCTATATTTATCACTACTGTGATGTGTTGTCTGTATCATTCCCTTGACGGCTGCCTTGACTTCGTCATGACTATCATACCTTTGTCTCCACAGCATGGCTCCCTGGTGCCCCGCTTGCAGGTCTTTCAAAGAGGTCTGGGAGGAGTTTGCAGGTTGGGGGCATGATCTAGACATCTCGGTGGCAGTCATTGACGTCACGGAAAATCCAGGTAAATACATTAATGAAGTGAAGTGACCGCTTCTCTTTGTTAGTGAGTGTCCATCTTCATCAAGCCACCAGGTTTTAAAACGAAATTTCAAGGACCCTCTTTGTACCAGTGGCAGACCGGCAATTTAGAGGCTCAGTGGCCACGAGGCGTTGCGTCTGCCTCAAGTGATGGAGGCCCCGATGAAGGCTGGCATTTTTTCACGGGGACTTCTAGTAATTTCTCCTGGTTTCTGGGTAGTAAGATCGGATGTCCGTGTGTATCGTTGCACAGGTGAAAAAAAATCCTTTTGCAGTTGGAAATCAAAAAGAGTAGCCTGATGGCACTGCCCGGGCAAAATTGGGAGTAAAAAATCTACCCAAAGTATTTGATTATCCTCGTCAGGGTTACGGAGTTTGTGCACTGAGCTGAGATTGTTCTGACTCAGGCTTGATTAGAAGTAGAACTGAGCACATGAGTTACTACCCTTGTGCCGTGATGTTGATCTGTTGTTTAAACCTTCAACCTTAAAACCTGAAGACATATGATGCTACAATCATATTTTATAGGCCAGTCAGCACTTGGTTTCCTTCTTCTGCTTTTTCGTGTTCAACGATTGTAAACCCTATAGGAAAGTTCTGGGTCCACCTGCGGACTTTTTAGTCTTCAATCCAGAACCCGAGTGTTTCCTGCAAATTGTTTTCACAGATCACTATCTGTTTTAAATGCAGTCTTGTGGTTCCTTACCTCTCAGGCAGATGCACTCTGATTAGTTGTCTCCTAGGACATGCTTGTTGGTGAGGCCGTGGGTCAGTTCTTGTTTTGCCTACAATTATTCAGCATCATGCGGGTCAGCTTTACATCCGAGGACGTAACTTGGTACCCATTTTAGACAGGGTCAGCCTGGGGGTCAGGGTCAATTTCGAAAAAAAAAAATAAGTCTCTGTGAACGGAACCCGTGACCTTCAGTCAAACAAGTGACCTAATTTAACATATCTGATGATGGAGCAGATTTACAGCTTTGTTTTTTTTATTGTATGTGCTTTTATTTTCTAATGAAGCATAGGCCCTCAGAAAAAAACCTCCATGCAATGTATGCCCTTTGTAGGTGTAATCATGATCGGCTGGATTTGACAGTATTTCTGCATTGTTTTGAAAACCTTATGGAACTCTTTCCGATGTCAAGCAATGCCTGATATGTCTTGAACTCCGTTCCTTGATTTTCCTTCATAACATATTGTGTTTTGCTACTGACAACATTTAGTCAGATGATACTAAAGAAATCTGGCTTCTCCACTGGTAATTATTCTGCAGTTTACAGCTTTGAAAGTAAAACATTCATGAATTTTTATCATGGTCATTTCTGTGAGAGTTGTTAGCCTAAACACACTTGGAGTTAAACTCCGGAGGAGATTGGAGCACTTATGGTCATGCCCGATGTGCCATGAAGATGATCTTTCAATGAACAAGGAAAAATTATCCTGGTAATTTCTTCACTTCGGCATCTCCTTTGAAACTTTTTGGTATGGAACAAGTTGAACTGTACAGAGGTTATCTGAAACATTATATTCTGGACACAAAGGGATTTATTTATCTTCGTACTGAAGATTGACTGGAGGGGAAAAAACCCAGATATATGGCCGCAGTTATACAGGTCTTTTAGGTTTTTAAATGGTTTTTTAACAGAGTTATTGTATTTCTGTTTGGTAATAAATTTTAATCATAAATTTCTTCTTATCTTTCAGGTCTTAGTGGAAGGTTTCTAGTGACATCGCTGCCCACAATCTACCAGTGAGTGTTGTCTTTCTGTCAGGACATCATTATAATTATTCATTATTACTTTATTAGATAAAATAAAACCAGAGCTTCAGATCCACTTTGTGCACCACACGGGGGGGGGGGGGGGGGGGGGGGGGGGGGGGGGGGGGGGGGGTCATTGGAAACCCAGCAAACACACAACAGTCATCAAGTAGCAATACAGTTAATTTGTATGGTGTCATTTCAGATACATTTGTGTGGTGTCATTTCAGATACATTTGTGTGATGTCATTTCAGATACATTTGTGTGGTGTCATTTCAGATACATTTGTGTGGTGTCATTTCAGATACATTTGTGTGGTGTCATTTCAGATACATTTGTGTGGTGTCATTTCAGATACATTTGTGTGGTGTCGTTTCAGATACATTTGTGTGGTGTCATCTCAGATACATTTGTGTGGTGTCATTTGAGATACACTTGTGTGGTGTCATTTCAGATAAAGTTGTGTGATGTCATTTCAGATACATTTTTGTGGTGTCATTTCAGATAAAGTTGTGTGGTGTCATATCAGATACATTTGTTTGGTGTCATTTCAGATACACTTGTGTGGTGTCATTTAAGATAAAGTTGTGTGGTGTCATCTCAGATACATTTATGTAGCCTTGTTTCAGATAAATTTCTGTTAATTAATTTGGACCACTGAAGTTGAAATACAAGCGTTACTAAATAAATATAATCAAACTGCTACATGAGAGTTCACCAACATACAGAGGGAGATCCATCAGAACTAAGAGGGTTCATGACTCTGCTTCGCTTTGGAGGTCACAGGTAAAGAGCATTGTTTGGATCTTTTCCTTGGGGCATGCTGGTTTGTTGGAAAATGAACAGGTGGACAGACTGGCTGGCTGTGCACAACTTTGTGGAATATTGATGCAGGATAAGGTAGATGTGTTTAGGGACTTGTGGGAGGATGTATACCATTTGGAGGAGGAAATAGATCACCACAGTCGGGTGAGAGTGAAGCAGCGGGGAATGATGAGGGGACCTGGCCGATACTCAACGCTCAGAGGAAAGGCAAGACAGAAGTATAATCAGAATGCTACTGGCACCATTGGTATTAGAACTCTGCACTGGCTGCTGAAGATGGGAACAGAGCACTTATGGGAATGCCCAGAGTGCTGTGATGTTGGTTCTTGAATTAACTCAATTGAACTCTGACTCTGAAAACTAAAACAGTTGAACAATACGGTGGTGCAGGAATCAAACTACATACACTTTAGTACAACAGGAGACTGCAAACAAACAATATTAATATGTATGACTACAGGATCTGTTGAAAGGCACCTTCAAACTTTATTTGAGCTGAAAAGTTTAAAAAATTTAAAGTGCTCCAGAATGTATCTGAAGATTGCTTCATCATCTTGAACCAGTTCATCCTGTGTGATAATTATCAAGCACTGCTATCATTTTATAACTCCAGCATGGTAATTGCATAAACAACATTTAAAAAAACTGGATTGAAGTTGTGGCAGTAATTGGACACTTTTCCCTTGGGTAGTTCATTGTGAATAATATGTAAACTTTAATTTTTTTAAGTGAAGCAGAAAAAACCTGACCAATATGTTTGAGTCTGTACTGTTGTGCCTCTGCAGTGTGAAAGATGGAATGTTCCGTCAGTATTCAGGCAGCAGGAAGACCACAGATCTCATCGAACTGATTGACGAGAAGAAGTGGAGCAGCATCGAGCCTGTCGCCTGGTACCGAGACCCCAGCTCAGTGCAGTAAGTGCCATCATTGTAGAGGTGTATGATGTGAATGTTCAGTATCAGTCTACAGAGAATATGGCACGTGATATGAAGATTTCACTTTATCTTTTATAAAGAGATAAATGTATAATGTAAAGATCCAAATTTCCTCCTAAAAAGATCTAATCTGCAGTTTTGATAAGCAAGGACTGTCATATTAGCCATCTCACATGATCACCAGATTCACAGATCAGGTCAGTTTTCTTGCCTCGTCCCATCTGTATGGCTCAACCATCCAGCCATTTATCTCTTCACCTTCCTCTTGCTCTCTTTCCATCAAACTTACCAGTTGTAACCAAGTTCTGGAGTCCATTTCTTCTCATAACACTTCTGAAATACTTTGACTGACTGCTTCTAATTTTGTTGAATCAGTTTGCGACTTGTTTCTGTCCCGAGGGGGGGCTGTTCTGTTTGTTGTTGTAGCATTTACTTATACTCTCAGTAACCACATCTCCGATGTGAGTGTGCATGCGTGCACACAAACACACTCTTGCATGCACACATGCGCACACACAGAGTATGGTATAAAGAACGCCAATACCTTCAACACATCACAGTCAGAAATGAAGATCCAGGTTAAAGAGTACATAGAAGATAGTCTATGATCTACAGATTCCATTCCTATAATAGTGTAAGGATTCCATTCCTGTTTCCTCGCAGCAGACGTTGTAAACACAGAACTAGCTAAATTAATTAATTTGAAAACTGCAGTCCCCTTGGACAAAGACCATAAAGTCTGGTGTGTGCAGCATGTGGTTCAGTTCTGTAATTGCTGCTGTCAGAGTGGGGAGCAGCAGGTCAAGCAGTTAGAAATGCTGGGTTATCTTTTGAGAGATCCAGGTTTGAATCATTGATAAGAATTTGTTTCTGTCTGGGGCAAAAAGCAATTTAAAGCTGCATTGTCTGTGGTGACTGCCTTAACCAAGTGGCCCTAAATTCTTAAGCTCAAGACCCCTGTTTTCCACACTGCCCCAAACTCTTAAGCTCAAGACCCCTGTTTCCCACACTGCCCTAAAAAGTGGTCCCTCTGGCAGTACAGACTGCTGTAGGAAATGGAGCATGGAGTATAATTGACCTAGATCTCTAGTTTTTGCATGGATAGATTATTCATTACGATGTGAAGATCCCTGAAAGATATCAACATTGACACAGACACGTGGGCGAGATCAGTTGCAGCCTGACTCCTGCAGAGGTAGACAGGGAAAGACGGACTGTCACAGTTTGAAAGAGGCCAAAAGTAGCAAGTTATAGAGGGGAGACGTCTGAGAGAAAACCAGCCTCAGAATGAAGGTGTACGTTTTCATGTGGCCTATGTGGCAGGGACTATCACTCCTGCTGTTCCCAAAAACCAGTGGCACAACTCTATGCTCCCTAGGGACTGACAGTTGTCTACTACTAAAGCTCCCCTTCTGCATGTGCTGCACATTGTACCACAAATCCTTGTTTAACCAATGTTGGCCACATTTTTTTTTTTCAGGATGGGTGTACTTGGTGCATTTTTCAAGGCTGCGATGTTCTTTCGGGTGAGAGCTGTTTGTTTGTGCTTTTCCTTGCTGTCTTGTTGTCAATGTTACTTCTGAATTCTCACTGGCAGAGTAGCGTTCATTTTGATCTGTGTTCAGTGTTGTCTTTATTTAATTAATAGCTTCTTTAAAAAAAACATTAATGTAAATGTCAAGTCAGACGAGTTAATTGTAATATTCCAAGTAGACCGCCGATGTTTTAAACAGGAGATAGATTGCATGGTTTATAGCGTTTCTTCTTCTTCTTCTTCTTCTTCTTCTTTTTGTTTGCGCTCACTGGCTGTAAACTTGAGCAGAAAGCTAAAGCTGTTCTCCCAATTCTGGACTTTGGTACTCTACCAGGAGTTGAGTTTTGTATGGGTAGACTGTTGTTGCCTCTCAGGTGCATTCTGACTTGAGAGGAAATAATGAGCCTGTCTACACTGTCCATGCCCAAAGTTAGGAACTGATTTCTAAGATGACAGCGGAGAGAGGTCGATAGAACGTGGCCACTGTGAGCCTTGGGTCCTGGTAGCCCAGGGCATGCAACATGATTGTGATGTTAGAACTTGTCTAAAGTGGGTTTGTGAGCACTTCTGAAAACAATGACACACTTCCAGAGGTCTCTAGGGTCATCTTGGTTGGTTAGTTAATGAAATCTTTCACAGAGCGCCACAATTGATGACGAAGTAAATGCAAGGATCTCTAGGGCTAGCGTTGCCTTTGGCAGATTGTACAAAAATGTTTAGAACAGAAGTGGCATACCCCTGCAGACAAAGCTTAAAGTATACAGAGCAGTTTTGTTAACTACACTGCTGTACGCATACGAAACATGGACTGTATACCAGCGCCAGGCTAGAAAGTTAAACCACTTTCACACAGTCTGCCTTAGAAAACTAATGCAGATCAGATGGCAAGACAAAGTACCGGATACCATAGTCCTTGAGAAAGCAGCCATGCCCAGCATCCACACTCTACTGATGCAGTATCAGATTTGTTGGGCTGGTCATGTGGCCCACATGCCAGATCACAGGCTCCCAAAAAACCTCTTCTGTGATGAGCTGCAAAATGCTAAACTTTCCCAAGGCCGGCAAAAGAAACGCCTGAAGTCTTCACTCAAAGCATTGGGGATGAATGACACCAATTGGGAGGCTGCCTCTCAAGACCGAAAGGCATGGCGTGCGGCTCTACACAAGGTTGCGGCTACATGTGAAGCAAACAGAACAGCAAGACTGATTAAGAAAAGGGTGGACAGAAAGGCAACTACAGGAGACCCCCTCCCTGGCACAACGCTCATTCCCTGTCCTCACTGTCCAAGAACTTTTCGGGCCCGCATCGGCCTCATCAGTCATCTTTGTACTCATACTTGATGAAAAAGAGTGGTCATCATCATCTAGATGGACAACACACAGTTAATGTAAACTGCACTGGTTTGTTGTTTGTGAATGAATGCCAGGGGTGGAAGCGGTGGAGGTATGGTTTTTTTTTTTTTAGTAGAAGAATTCTGATAATGTGTGGGGGGGGGGGGGGGGAATAAAAACTAGAGCTAGAGTATCGGTTGTTACAGGTTTGTTATCAGATTGCTGGTGACAGTTCAGTTCATCTTTTAAAATGTTCCTTTCATCTGTAATGTTTACCATCTCTATGTGCTTCATCTACACTTATCTGTCTAGATACTCTTTCTGTCTCTTTCTCTCTCTCTCTCTTTTAATATGCATATTATTACATGAACATAACATGCTTTATTGATGAAATACAACTGCTGTGTCAAAGATGGGAATTTGGAAGGGCCCAATGTAAGACAGGCCTGCGTGCCTAATTTGTGACCCTTTGAAAATATAGTTTGTTCATCGTTCTCTGTGTGTGTGTGTAGTAAATAAACGGTTGTATTATTGTATTTGTTTTTTTTAGGGTATATACAGCACACTAACAGAAGTCTATGGTATACCGGAGTGGTTATGTTATGTGATTTTTGCTGTCTTAACTATTGTTGTTGGCTTGATCCTTGGATTGGTGAGTATTTCCTGTGTGTTTTGGGAATGTTGTTCATAGGAGTGGATGTGTGTGTGTGTTTTGGGAATGTTGTTCATAAATGTGGGTGTGTGTGTATGTGAGAGAGAGAGAGAAAGGGATGAGTGTGAGGTGTAGAACTTACAAGTGCTACTGTGTTTAAATGTAGTGGGGTGAATGTTGAGGGGACACTGTGTTTATACGTTATGAGTTGAAAATGTGTAAGTTATTATGTGTGTTTGTGAATTGTAGTATGTGCAGATAATACATGTGTGAGTGTTTGTGAATGACAGTTACCTTATATGTTTTTAGAGCATTCAAATACTATATTGTCAACAGACCTCAAACCAAAGCTTGACTGAATCTCAGTATCTTCAAAGCCTTTTTTCTTATCACATTCCCAAATAACAATAATTTTTGTAAAGTTGCATCTAATGTTATATTGCATCAAACTTTATAGTTGCATCTCATGCTATATTGCATCAATATTTATAGGTGCATCTCATGTTATATTGCATCAACTTTTAGAGTTGCATCTACTGTTATATTGTGCTTTATAGTTGCATCTCATTTTCTGCTTTCTTTAACTTTGCCCATAAACTTTGTAAGTTCAAGGTGTCTGCATTTGTCCCAGATAGCAATATGCTATCTCACAGCTCTTCCTCATTTGTTGTTTACAGACCACATTCACTGCTATACAGAAGAATAGGGTTGACAGTTTTTTTTTCTGAGCTGACTGCTGCTGAAGATAATTTTCAAAACTTCCTGTCCCGCTTTCAGTGAAAAGGACTTTTTGCATTGGATATTTGTCATCTTCTCAACTACATCTTTTGCCTGGCCTATCCAGCTCTTTTTCTCAGTGATACGTCTCCCATTTGTTATGACTGCCCCCAAATATTTGTATTTTTTGGGAGTTGGTTGAACATGCTTTGTTCTGCTCCCTGTATGGGTTGCCGTGGTTTCATTTTGGAGAATAAAGAATAGATCTATCCCTGCCCCCCTCCGCTACTCATCTCCTAGTAAGCATGTCATAGGAGGCGTCTGATTAGAATGTTTCCTTCACAATCAGAGAGCTTCTGCCTGTGAGGCAAAGAACCAACAGTCTGCATATAAATAAGCCAGATCTGTAAAATGCATGATCACGTTAAACTCCAGTTCTGGAAAAACCCAAAGTCCAAGTGTGGATGACCAACCAGAGATTTCCACTGGAGTTTACAGCCAGTGAATGCTATGGAGAAGAAGTATTTCTGTGACACATCGTCCATCTGTTATATTTTGTTTTACTTGGTGGATAATTGCTGGGCTGTTGTTGTTGACTGTAGTTATGCTGAGAGGGTTGCATTGTTGACTGTAGTTATGCTGAGAGAGTTGCATTGTTGACTGTAGTTATGCTGAGAGAGTTGCATTGTTGACTGTAGTTATACTGAGAGAGTGGCATTGTTGACTGTAGTTATACTGAGAGAGTTGTATTGTTGACTGTAGTTATGCTGAGAGAGTTGCATTGTTGACTTTCAGCTGCTGGTGTTGTGCTGCGACAGTGTGTTCCCAGCCAAGTACATACCGCTGCCTCCACAGAAGATTGCCTACAACCCCAGCGCTATACCAGCTGTAAGTTCTCCAACCATCCTGTGTGTTGTTGAGTGTCAGCGCTCCTTTAGCTTACCTTTGTCATTTGTATGATATATAGGCATAGCAGTTGCAAGAGAGTTAAAGTGCTGACCTCTGCAAAGATGGATACAAGACACTGAAGATGGATTGGCTATGAAAGCACCTAGGGCTAGGAATGAGTAGAAAAAAGAAAGACTTTCCGGGGTGCCATAACAAGAGGGACATTCTATAACGGACCTACTGATTCATAATAAGTCCTATGGTATAGTGGTTAGATGCTGGAGCACGCCTGAAGGTCTTTGGTTCAATCTCTTTGGCTCCTAGGTCGACCCAGCCTGTGGGTGCTGTGTAATGTCCTGGGAAGTAAAGGCAGTCGGCAGGATGTTGACCCACTGAGTGCTGACTGGTCTAAAAAATATATCCAGCACTAATTGCCGAACATACTGAAGGCGTGAAAAGAGTCCAAGACAAACAGGGGGAAAAAAGAATACTCTCTAAATCAGTTGAGGTGAGGTAGTTGGCTCTTGAGAGCTATATAGAGCCAGTGCAGAATATTAAAGTGAATCATGGATAGTCAGCCTTATGTTGAAAAATTAGGTGAAATCTGCCGAGGTGTGATTTTTATAATTTTTTTATTTTGATATTAATGCATCTCTGCTGGGACCAAAATTGTGTCTGTGTTAACCGAGTAAGTTTGTGTTAATAATCAGGTTTTGGTATATTTCATGGAAAAACACACACTCTGATACAGAGGCTCTCAGGAGACTGGGAATGAAAGAAGAACGCTGCTGAAAGTAAACAAGAGACAAGTGAAGTATTTCTGCTGTATTTAATGGCATAACACTCTTATAAAAACCATATTGGAATGAATAGTTAAAAAGCAAGGGAACAAGAGGCAGACAGTGATACAAGTAGAAGTTTCTACATCAAGAAATGGATGAACAGTTATTATGAAAGATTGTAATCCAGGGTGTTTTGGAGACCCATTGTGGCCAGCCATCCTTGTGGAGATGACACCTGATTGATTGATCTACCAACTGAGGGAATTGCTTGATTACATTAGCTGACACCTCTCTGCTGCTGTTTCAGAATGACACTGACCTGATAGATGACACAGTCAACGACAGCGGAGACCAAAAAAGTGGCCAGGAGAGCGGGGATGAAGACCGCGAGTCGCAAGAAGGGGCAGGAGAGCCGGACTCTAACCAGTCAACCCCAGTTGAAGATTCTGATTTGCGGAAACGACAGCTTCGCAAAGATCAGTAACGCTAGCACGAATGTATTTTTGTATTCCCCACTGAATGAACAGGTTGTCCAGATCTGAACCTGTTGTTTAGTGCATTATCCATCAGTTATTATCTACTAACCCTTCGATAGTCATATGTTCTATACCTAAACTCCTGAGTAGGGATGTGTCAACTTTCATGACATCTTCAGCATCTTCAGCATAATCATGTGGCAGGTCCAATGGAATGATGTTTCCATTATAGTCCACCTGAAAATCTTTCGGCCTTTCCAGTTGTCCTGGTTCTGCATTTTCATGCATTTGGTGTCATAAATATCTAGTGTCCAACTGTGCTGGGAGTCTCCACTGTCCAGTATCCAACTGTGCTGGGAGTCTCCACTGTCCAACTGTGCTGCAAGTCTCCACTGTCCAGTGTCCAACTGTGCTGCAAGACTCCACTGTCCAACAATGCTGCAAGACTCCACTGTCCAACAATGCTGCAAGACTCCACTGTCCAGTGTCCAACTGTGCTGCAAGACTCCACTGTCCAGTGTCCAACAATGCTGCAAGACTCCACTGTCCAGTGTCCAACTGTGCTGGGAGTCTGCCCTGTCAGAGTACCCCTCTCTCTGCTAACCAGCTCCTGCCTTTTCTGGCTGGAACCTTCTTTTCCATCAGTGATCTACACAAACCATCTTTGGAATTAATATAACCAAGGGATGTTAACTTCCAGACAGTTTGCTGTTTATGAGTCAGTTTCTTTCAACTTTCAGATCTCATTTCCCATGATTCCCCAAATAGGTTCCAGGGCCTCTCATTCTGAAGGTGGTAGTTTTCCCTTGCTTTCCTCGTCCATATCCCTCACATCCACATTCTTTGTATCCATACAAGTATGGTCTCTTTAATGAAGACTCCTGATGAGTTGTTCTTACAGTGTAACTGTCTTCAACTTCAGCAACATTTCGGAGGAAGTAAACACATCTGCTGCATTTTTTATTTCACAGTTTGTACAGAAATGAGTTTATTTGTTTGATTTGTTGTGACATTTATGAAAGAAATTAAGTTGAAAGTATATTAAATTGTCATGACCACCGTCCTTTTGTGCTGTTGTATTTCACATAGAACTTGCAGTTTAGACTCCAGTCTGTTCTGTTCTATGCAGTTGTTTTAATATCATGGATAGAATCCATCAGCTTCACTCTGTCTCCTCAGCTCCACCCTGTCTCCTCAGCTTTACTCTGTCTCCTCAGCTTCACTCTGTCTCCTCAGCTTCACTCTGTCTCCTCAGCTTCACTCTGTCTCCTCAGCTTCACTCTGTCTCCTCAGCTTCACTCTGTCTCCTCAGCTTCACTCTGTCTCCTCAGCTTCACCATGTCTCCTCAGCTTCACTCTGTCTCTTCAGCTTCACTCTGTCTCCTCAGCTTCACTCTGTCTCCTCAGCTTCACTCTGTCTCCTCAGCTTCACTCTGTCTCCTCAGCTTCACTCTGTCTCCTCAGCTTCACCATGTCTCCTCAGCTTCACCATGTCTCCTCAGTGTTTAACTTGGGGTCTCCTTTGGACATCCTAGCCACCTCAGTCCATTTGGTTCCTATTTCAGTGCCTGTTTGGTGATTGTGTGCTGGCTCTCCCCCCCCCCCACCCCCCCGCCCCAGGATGAGCCCAGTCTATTGTCATCTTCTTTCTCTTACACCTGTTGCAGTTGTCCAGGTTTTTCTCTATTTTCCTTTCCTTTCTAGAATTCACCCCAATTGTAATGTTCAGCAGGCTCAGAAGACATTTCTTCTTCTTGTTTGCGTTCAGGGTCTGTAAACTTTAGCAGACAGTTATGTTTGTTCACCCACCTTAGGACTTGGGTCTTGTTCTAGAACTTGAGTCTTGTGTGCACATCTGTTTTACAGATCTGGCTTGTTTATATGCTGACTGTTGGTTTCTGGCCTCTGAGGCATATGCACTCACTTTGAAGAAAATGGCTATAATTAGTCGCCTCTTAGGACATGCTTATTAGGGAGGCAGCAGGTTTATTCTTTCTTGCCCCCACGATGGGGCCCTTGAATCCACATGGGGACTTAGGCATTTGTTTCCAGATGCATTTAACATGCATTCAGCATCTTTAGTTATTCTCCAACTTTCACTTAATTGTCATTGTTGGAGAGATATATGTTTGCTAAAAACTTTCCCATCACTTTCTCACAAGGAATGCTATACAGTTGGTTGATATTTTATGTCTTCTTTTATAAGCACTAAACTTGGTACTTATTATTCCCCCAAAACAGTAGGTCTGTGGTTTACTTACAGAAATAGTTCTTATCGCAAAAGACATTTGTTCTCTTCTCAAGATGGAAGGCTTGTGGGTTCAAGGGTCAACCCCTCCTTTTTTTACCTTCCTTTACTAAAATGTGATGCATTCCCAGAATTGTTGACTTTTGTCTGCAAGTTGTCACTTTATTATTATTATTATTAAAGCTGATTTTTGTTGCCCGTATTTGTCAGTGAATTAATTTTAGTTGAGACCTGCATTTGAAGCAGTCTGTTGTATGTGCATATTTATTCTACCCTGTTCTTGCTACTGCTATGTATAGTGTTCTATTTATTGTATTTTTCTTTGTTTTGATTACAGACAGACAATTATCAGTTTGCATTTGGACTTGTTTGACTTTTGTTGGCTTCTTTCATTTGTCCATATTTATTGTGCTTTTTTCTTACTGCTAAGACTGACTTAAAAGAAATGTGGAACCTGATTGATGGTTGTCTTGGTTGGACACAGTGGAATTTATGTTCAGAAAGGATCCAGTTTTAATCTCCTTCCTAGAAGTAAACCAAGCTTGGGAGATGTCTTTTGGTGGGAAAACTTTACAGCTGACCGTGCAAGTATGAGAACCTTTTTTGACTCACAAGGGGGCATTATGCAAAACATGATGGCCAAGCTATATCCCAGATTTAAAGAGGCTTTGCTCAAGAGCTTTCAACAAGGACAGGCAGGGCTGCTGAAAGAAATGTGTGGGGTTGGAGGGAGATATCTGTGGGGTTGGAGGGAGATATGTGTGGGGTTGGAGGGAGAAATGTGTGGGGTTGGAGGGAGATATCTGTGGGGTTTGAGGGAGATATGTGTGGGGTTGGAGGGAGATATCTGTGGGGTTGGAGGGAGATATCTGTGGGGTTGGAGGGAGATATCTGTGGGGTTGGAGGGAGATATCTGTGGGGTTGGAGGGAGATATCTGTGGGGTTGGAGGGAGAAATGTGTGTAGCTGGAGGGAGAAATGTGTGTAGCTGGAGGGAGAGATGTGTGGGATTACCAGAAAACTGGAGGGGATTACTGCTCGAGACCTCCACATGACAACTCATGTTTTCCCAGCCACAAATCAGATAAAGTTGAAAGAAACCTTGTCATTCTGTTTGAAATTTGTTCCTTTTATTTTTTATTTTTGTTAAAGCAACAGTTTACCATTGGTGTTGAATTCAGCAAAGGTTTTGCTGCTACGTTTAGAATCATAATTTTGTCAGTGTTGTAAATGTGAATGTTGCTGAGTCATGTGAATGTTGCTGAGTCTTGTAAATGTGAATGTTGCTGAGTCTTGTAAATGTGAATGTTGCTGAGTCTTGTAAATGTGAATGTTGCTGAGTCTTGTAAATGTGAATGTTGCTGAGTCTTGTAGATACGTATGCAGGGATGTAAATAATCTCGCAGGCATATTTAACGATTTATTTCAGTGTGATGCCGTGGCTTATCTTCTGCCAATCCACTTGGTGAAAGAAGATGTAATAAATCAATGGTTCACCTGTTCCTTGGTAGACATGAGATAAATCATTGGTTCACCTGTTCCTTGGTAGACATGAGATAAATCATTGGTTCACCTGTTCCTTGGTAGACATGAGATAAATCATTGGTTCACCTGTTCCTTGGTAGACATGAGATAAATCATTGGTTCACCTGTTCCTTGGTAGACATGAGATGAATCATTCACTGTGAATCCACCAGTAGAAACATTGGATCAGTTGGTCGTCCATCTGCCCACCATTAAAAATATGTAATTTATCATTAATCATATGTGTCCACCAGACTTATGTCTGACCATTGAGTTACCAGTCTGCAAGTAGGAACGTGACTGGTCATTATTGTCCACCAGTAGAAACTTATGACTGCCTGACCATTGAGTTACCAGTCTGCAAGTAGGAACGTGACTGGTCATTATTGTCCACCAGTAGAAACTTATGACTGACTGACCATTGAGTTACCAGTCTGCAAGTAGGAACGTGACTGGTCATTATTGTCCACCAGTAGTAGAAACTTATGACTGACTGACCATTGAGTTACCAGTCTGCAAGTAGGATCGTCACTGGTCAGTATTGTCCAGCAGTGGAAACTTTTTTATCCATTCCTTATTTCTTTCACTTCTCTGTCACATACAGTGTAGCTGATCATCATTGGATGTGTTTAGTGGTACGAGTTGGGGCTGGGGTGAGTCAGTCTGAGAACCCTTGTTGTGAGACTGGTAGTCAACTGGTCTCAGGACCTTATGATGCAGTTGTGGACCATGAACACATAGTGTACCCGAATGAGTTGACTGGCCAAGAATGACACCATCAGAGACAGCTGAGCCTACAGTGAGGTCTTCCACCAGTGACTGTTCCAGGATTGCCTCCTGTCGCAGTGCCAGTGTGTCTTGCTAGTCTGGTGACGATTGCCATACGTCCGTGTGAATGAATGATCATTGTACGTCAGCAAAGAGAAGTCCGTTTGTTTGCAGGTGACATGGCTTTATTGCATATTAAATGATCTTCACTGATGATCTCTGTTGTTGGAGTTTTTTGGGGTCCTGATGTTTGTGAGAAGGCTGGATGTCACAGCTGAACAAGCTGACAGCAGGTCATCAGACAGGCAGTGTGATAGTCTTCCTGGGGTTTGGTTGTACAAGGTTGATTCTGTAGCCTCTTCCACACACTCTCATCATCACATCTTGCCAAATGGCGTTGGCGATCAAGCCTCTCCACAATCTGTGATCCTTTACTTCATGTTTCAGTTTGTGTGTTGACACCCCTCCA